CAAGCCCTCTTATATAATGGGTGGGCCATTTAAAAGTTTCGATTTAAAAATAAAATAAAACAAAAACGGTTTGAGATATTGCCAAATTTATTTTTTTGTTTTGAAGTACAATTGTTCCGCTCAGAAATGAAATATTACTTCATTCAAATGGCTGCCGCGGCTGGCCTCACAGTAGCCCATTCGATCGGACCAATTTTCGAGCACTTTTTCGAGTGTTTGGGGCCGTATCTCGTCAATGGCATCACGAATGTTGGCCTTCAAATGGTCAATTGTCTCTGGATGGTCGACATAACACTTGTCTTTAACAGCGCCCCTCAGGAAATAGTCCAATGGTGTCAAATCGCAGCTTCTTGGCGGCCAATTGACATCACCATTTCGACTGATTAAACGGCCATCGAAGGTTTCGCGCAATAAGTTGATTGTGGCATGCGATGTGTGACAAGTTGCACCATCCTGCTGAAACCAAACATTCTCCACATCAATACCATCAAGAGCAGGAACAAAAAAATCAGTTATCATGGTGCGATAGGTGTTTCCATTGACAGAAACGGTTGCGCCGTCCCCGTCTTCAAAGAAATATGGGCCAATGATGCCTCCGCTCCACAATCCACACCAAACAGTCACTCGCAAGGGATGCATTGGCTTCTCTAAGACCTCGTGTGGGTTTTCCGAGCCCCAGATACGGCAATTTTGCTTATTGACGTAGCCACCAATATGAAAATGAGCTTCGTCTGAAAAGATTATTTTTTTCGCAAAATCGACATCATTGATTAGTTGCTCGTTGGCCCATGTAGCGAAGGCAGAACGAAGTGGATGGTCACGCGGCTTCAACTCTTGAACCAATTGAACTTTGTAAGGCGTCATACCGAGATCTTTCCGCAAAATTCGTCGTAAACTGGTGCGAGAAATGTTCAATTCTTGGGAACGATGACGTGTTGACGTTGATGGATTTTCACGCACACTCGCAGCCACAGCATCGATACCTTCGGGTGTACGCACTGTACGAGCACGCTGACGTGTTGGAGCATCAACAATGAAACCAGTTTCACGCACTTTATTAATAAACTTGCGTATACCGAGCGCTGTTGGTGCTTCGTTGCGACCGAATTTTGAACGGCATTTTCGTGCAATTTCTGCCCAATTGTCTTTGTTTTGGAAATAAATTTCCAATATTACCCAACGTTGCTCAAGCGTAAATCGATTCATTTCGTTCAGCGGAGATAATATACTGAATTTTATGACAAATCAGATTGACATAAGTATTGTCAGCGTCAAATTAACACGTGGTTCAAATCGAAACCGATAGATGGCCCACCCTTTACATTATATATATCCCTGATATGGACAATCTAGTCGGGACGGCAACATCCTAACCATGTTATCTGAGCCTTTTACAGACTGAAAAGGCTATGAGAGAAAGTAACTTCTTAGCCCTAAACAAATAAACTAGCTTTTCCGCATCAGCTATTGCGATTAACGAGATGTGTTCGCGCCAGATCAAGTCCTCGGTGATTCCGACCAGCCGAAATGAATGCCATGCATCGAAAGAGTGCTAAAACGCTTCTTGTTGTTCTGAGAGTATGAACTGTGATTAACTCTCAGATATCTCGTCAGAGAGGAAGTCGCTACTAGTCTTCTGCACTGGATGCCTGCGTGCAAAGTGCTGTTAACAGCAAAGGTGTGGCTGAGATTGATTTTACAGGAGAGGATGTCGTTTGTATGTAATAGAAACGACGTTGGGGTAAAGACCAAAAGATCCCTGGGAAACACCAGCGTTGAAATAGTGAGATGAAGAAAACTCGTCAATTACGATGATTATCTTGCGGATAGGATGGATGGAAGTTTGCTTAAGGGGGCAGCATTCCACAGCTGATCGATAAGTTTCGTGATATGAAGAGTAACGACATGATAAGTTTACTCTCCAGTTGGGTGACTTGAGCCGGAAACCATACTGCATGTCGGTAATAAACCGTGATGTTCCAAATACTCTAGAATCTCCCTATTTATGCACTACTTCATCGTATTGCTGATAACAGAAAGCGGGCAAGAGGTCTGTAGTTGTAAAGGTCGGTCGGGTCTTAGATCCTTTCTGTGAGACGGGTTGGACATGAGCAAATATCAAATTATCTAGGAAAGTGGCAGATTCGGACTACACTGCAAGAGGAAAAATCAGTTCAGTACCAGAAGCTTTGTTAATTTCGAGCGACAAGAGCACCCGTAGTATTACGGGTATTACGGTTTTATATCTGAAGACTACTTCTTTTACAGTATAGGGGAATTGACGGCACTTTGGCGTTTGGGGGGGGAGGTGGTGCACTATGGTGGAGTTGGCAGCAAAGATCTTAGCAAGTATTTCTGTCTTAGATTTGGAATCGGTTAGAGGTTACAATCGTTCCATCCTAGTACGTCAGCTTGACCAGTGCTCTGCGACATTACCCCATGCCTAATTTTTACATCGTGCTGGGCTTTGACTTGCGAACAGTTTCGTTATAGTTGTTTCTAGATTCAACATCGGCTTGTCTGTTCTGCATGAGAGGCATCCAGAAAACGCTTTGCGTATTTGTCATCTGGACAAAGATAAGTAAGTAGATACTGAAAGCGATATCAGCTTAGCTCTAGGACTTACTAAATTCGCTCCAGGACACCTTATGATTGTTTGGTGGTCATGTTAGAATTCAGTGCCCCAAAATACCCTTTAAGAAGAAGGATGTAAATGAACGTTTCGCAAGGCAAAACCCAAGTGTTCCGACTTCCATGGATGAAATTATTAAAGACCTTTGTGTGTTTGATCTGGATACAAACTGATTCTAGATTCTGAATTGAGGCTAAATTCACTCGTTGACAGACGGAGGGTACCAGACGTCTCATTTTTTAGCCCAGTTATGAATCAATGACACCTTTTGATGATCATATCCAAATTCACTACCTCAAATTGACAATGTCACACCTCACCAAATATGTAGAATCTTTATACTTATATTACTTACGCTATTTAAAACATACATCTTCCGAACACTTTACAGCTTTTTGTGTATAATAAATCTACTGTAACACTAAATAAATGGAATACCAAAATATACTTTATCAAAGTGTACAATTACGTTGTTCGATTTTATTGCTGTTTTAATCACCGACTTGTAGCGAACCGTATTTTTTAGAACAGTAAAATCACGCACAAATTATAAAATAGTTTACTTACCCTTCGATGAAAATTATCGATGTTATTTAATATAAGAAAACGAGTATGAGGATCAAAAGAAAATACTTGAAGTACATGATGTCAGTAATAGCTAACATGTGCGCGTTCAGCGCCATTTTCAAGACTCACACTGCTGACTTCCTCATGTTACTGTGAACTTGAAATAAAGAATGCAAATTCATTGATTGTGAAGCCCTAAAAGTGCGAAGCTTTGCTCATATAAGTATCGTAATCTTATTACTGGTATTAATGGAGCTGTTTTTTACAGGGTTAGGGCAAAACGTACGTATAATTTTGGAATAAGTGGGGTGTAAAATCCTCCTTGCATCGTGTAAAAATTAATAGAGTCAATTTCAGGTACCTATATTGGATGTTACTTAATGATAGTAGCATTTTTCAACCAAATTCAAATACAAAAGTTCATATCACCGTGTGTTCTAAAAATTCTGGTTTCCCAGATACAGGGTATCAAAGTTTAAAAAAAAGTTCTTTCACTAATACAGGGTGGACCAGAAAGACGCACGCATTTCAAAACCTCATTGCTTTTGGCAGGCACGCGGGAGCGGGTTAAGGCTTTTACAAAAATGGAGATTCGTGCACTATTGCGCGACTCCGGTTTCGCTTTGAGTTTAGTTTACATGATCTAAGTCAATGTCCTAGTGAAAGTATCATCAGGTAGTGGGTCAGAAAGTTGGAGTGTACCGGTTCAACACTGAATCAGAAACAACAAGGTCAAAACGAAAAGAGGAAACTATAAGCGAACTTGCGACGTGCGTACGGCGCGATCCACAGTTATCATCCCGAAAGAGATCAGCTGAGCTTGCCATATCAAGAACATCTGTAAGGCGTATGCTGGTAGAAGACCTTAAATTGCATCCATATAAACTTCAACTAGTGCAGGAATTGAAACCGCATGACCAAGATCTACGCCATGCGTTTGCCGAAACAATGTTAGAGCGCTTTCCAAGTTTGAACAACATTATCTTTTCTGATGAAGCTCATTTTCATTTAAGTGGATTTGTCAACAAAAAAAAATTACCGGTATTGGCCCGCTGAAACTCCCGAATTAAAACACAACAAACACCAACGACCTTGGCATTCTCGGATGGTTACAGTTTGGGCGGCCATGTCGGCTGGAGTAATCATCGGAACCTATTTATTTACTGACTGTAACAGTAAATCCTAATCGCTATAGAGCAATGCTACTTAACTTTTTCTTTCCACCATAATTTTGAAGCATACGAACAAGATGGCGGGACATCCCATACCGCCGTGTCTTAGTAGTTGTAAACGAAATGTTTAGTGTAAAGCCTCTCCGAAGCCCTGATCTCACGCCACCAAATTTTTCTCTGGGGATACCGCAAGAACCGCGTTTACGCCATTAAACTGACGACGATTGCCCAGCTCAAGCATAACACTTCCCAGGAGATGTCAGCTATCTCACGAGCGATGTGCTAGCGAGTTTTCACGAATTTGAAGTCGAGATTCGAGGAGTGTGTCTCGATGGCTCACATCCCAATGATGTTTCAACAAAATAAAATTCTTATGTGTCTACTTTATTTAAAATATAAATGATCTTCCCTACGCTTTGTAGTTTTTTTTAAGTTAGCACTAACCAGAAAATAATTATGTTTTCCGGTGGTGTCTCGGGGCCGTCTCATAATCTTAATAATATTGACAAAAATGTTCGCCACTGCCTTTTTTAAAAATACATTTTTTTAGAGCTAAGCAGTTCATTTTATGTCGAACAATTGAAACAATAAGCGGGCAAAATAGGGCTGCAAGTGAACAAAACACAGCGTCTTCACCAACTTCACTTTACTGAGTTATAAAAATAAATTTTGGCATCATAAAATAAATATTCACGTCAAATAAGTAATACAAGAAAAAATTAAGTAACAGTTAAGTAGATCTTAGGCAATTACATTTCATAAAACTTTTAAGTCTTTGCTAAAACATTTCTCTAAAAATTTATGATTTAATACTGCATATAAATATTTTGAGCTATCAAGAAGGCACAAGCATATATTTATATTCTAGCACAATAATAATTATTGTGTAATATCATTGTTCTTCATGAGCCCGATTGATAGACATACATACCATAATTAGCGCTACAAAAACATTTATTTGTGATTTTCTTTAGCAAACAATTAAAACCATATTGGGAGGAACCAGCAACGTTAATGATGATTTCACGAGTATCCATCACGCTTAACTAAGGTAAACAGCTGATCAGCAAATGTCAATTTTGTGTTAGTCTGCAACGTTGGCAATAACGAATCAGGTGTAAATCTAGTAAAACTTGTTTGCAGCGTTTTGTTTTTTTGTATGCAAATGAACTTTCCTAAGTAAACGAGCTTTTAGCATGTACAAAATGAATCTGAAGTGTACAAAAAATCAAAACAAAATATGGCTCTATCTACCTCTGGCCTTGTCGTATCCTTTGCGGATATGGGAAATTTTGAAATATTACTATGTAATTCGCTGTCATTTATGCAAACTCGTGAAAAAGACCCTACTGCTAAATTGGTTCTCTGTAATTGTCCAGATAACGTTACATTTTATTATTCGCAATACAAGTAGGCGTAACTATGGCAATATATATATATATATATATATATATATATATATATATATATATATATACGGTGTTCAAACGTTGCCGTTCCCACAATCCCAGAAAATATTGCGCAAACAAAAAAAAATGAAGACGGAAGTTCCACAGTTTTGAGAGAATAGTCTAATCTTGATTATAACAGTGAAAGTGATCTTCAAGGTCATTTAGAGGCCAACTCAAACATTTTAAATGGAACTGTATCTTTAGGACTCCACTGAAGGAAAGATCGAAAAATGTTACCCTCGAGGTATCAACATCAAAATTCAAAATGGTACCGAAATTTATAACCCACAAGTGGAAACTTTAAGAATCATATATGTTTTCTTTCTAATCTTTTTCATCGGTGAAGTTAGAAAGGTACAATACTTTTAGCCATTTTTTTTGTTTGAGCAGTATTTTATGATAGGAAAGAGGTTCGAAACTATGTGAACAGCCTGTATATCTATAAATCCAGCATTTTATTAAAACATAACCGCAATCACATAACCTTTTATCTTCTGCAAGCTATATCTATAGATTAAGCTACTACAAACGACCCAAAAATACAGGGTTAAATGCGTTTTTCAGCCAATGGCACTAACAAGTTACACATAACCTCACAGACAAAAAGGCATCCACATGAATGGAATTCTAAGATAAACTGGTAATAAATGGTCTTACTCCAGACACAAGCATTTCTTCCCCATTGGTTTAATTTTGGGTTTACCGATTTGGCTAAGCTTTATGAATCAATCATTGTGTTATATAGGTCTGATTATATACAGTGGCCGTTAGATAGAGTTTTGTACTGTAATAAAGAAAATCAGCGATCTAACTTGACTGTACCTGTAATCTAGAGTCATATGTTTTCAGAAATATCTGGATTTTGAGTATACGAACTGGAGAACTGTTGTAAACGGCCAGAGTTGACGATATAATCACTTCTATAACCACTAAGAAGTTCAAATAAATCGTAAGCTGTCACAAAACAAAGAAGTGTAACTTGAAAATGTGTGTATAAATGATGTATAATAACGTACCATGGAGTTATTTCTTCTTATATTTTTCAATCTTTAGGATCTGCAGAATGTCTGTGATGGTAGTCAATAATAGTGTTAATACTAATGAAGTGGACCATATTTGTACAGAAACCTATAGTGCAATATTTTTATATTTCCTAGCGGATATAAATATTCAGTATATTATCTATTGGTTGAATTCTACAGGGTGAAGAAAACCTGAATGAAATATGAAGCTAAAATATACTTAATTTCAATTGTTAGGCAACTACAACATTCAACCTGCAAAATCAATTTGAATAAATTAAGAGCACTTTAGTTACGATCCAAATATTGTAATCATCCACTAACACCTACACATGAATGTCACCCTGTATGCTAGACATACTATTTACTGGTAGGCTTTCCATGAAGGTATAACTGGTTTGGCGCAAATCTAAAAAAAAACTATTATTTGGAGTACAAAAAATGCAAGTATGCTCTCACTTTAATCCTTAACAGTGGTGAGTTATATCACTGATTAACGTATTCTACCTGAAGATAGCCGAACTGAAGCTAAATTCCCGTGTCTGAAAAATTATCGGAGATAAAATGAGATACCGTAGCGTCATCTATGAGAAATTGTCACAGCTGTTTCTCTATTTTTCTCTGATAATTTTTCAGACGCAGTAATATAGTATTAGGTGGGTTATCTTCACGTAGAACACGTTAAACTTGATCAAATGCAACAAGTATTGAATAGTGCGTAATTTGAAATACTTTGTTCTAAAAATATTATTCGTATATAATGGTATTTAATTGGAAACTGGAATAAATGGTTGGAACATAGTGCAGATAGACATCTGGAAGCTTCAGTACTGCTCATTTTATACAAATCCCACCATTTTAAGTACTACTTATACGTGGTAAAACTATGTACTAATCGGATAACAATACGACAGGAATACTTTGAAAAACCTTTTTAGTTGAGCTGCTTCAATCTAAGTTGGATTTTGATGGTACTGGGGTCGCCCATACAACTCCAAGAGGTACCTGAAACAAAAAACATCTGGGAAGCATAAAAAATTACATAATATGATTTGTGTCCATCAGTACGTTCAGGAGTAATCTAAGAACACGATCCCACTTTGTGAACACGAGAGGTATCTTTTTTTGGCGTTGTGATTTTTTGCGAATGAACTACCAAAACAAATTGAAACAATGCAAGACAACCTTATTTAACTGATCTTTCACATTTAACGCAGTTCCTCTGTACAACTCTGCTCCTGAAAACATAAAACCATTGTCTTGAAATGGGTTTAAATATTATTTGAAATATCACCTCCTGCATAAATAAGTATATTTTTGTGAGTGTATGCGCTTGAAGATTTAATTTCAAATTTAAATGTATTCACATAATTTTACTATTGTATATATTTTTTTGATATTTGGGCCAAATGGAGGAATAGCTACACGAGCTAAACTTAGCCTTTTTATAATGTAGTCATTGTAAATAAAAACGGAGATCAACTCAATCAATGCATAAAGACGATAGTTAGTTGCGTGTCGGAAAATAAATGAGCAAATGAATTCAACGCTTATCTTACCTGTCTGGATGGTCCAGCCAATCGGTAGCACTAAGCTTTACGCAACGTTGTCGCTCAGCTTCCTTTACCTCCCATTTTTTGACTTCCAACTGGCGTTCACGACTTACTGTATCGCCACAACCCCACACCTCGATGGTCTCTAAACGGTACGGGATTTTCTTCCACTCAATCTGAAAAAATGTCGTATAATGTGGAAATTTTTCACATTGACATAGGAACGTTCCATATATAACTTGATACACAAAGTATATTAAGGTGTCCAATGTAAAAGTAATAACACATAAGTTTGAAAAAATGCAGTGTGAATTATTACAAAAATCATTAATATTATGCTCAATTTGGAGAGTTTGGTGACTTACCTTTTCAAAACCACCATCTACAATGAGAATGGGGGCTCTAGGATCTTTTCCTACTCTGAGACCGAAGGGATATCCACGTACGCTCATGTTCAAGTACAGCATCTTTGAGCCTTTTTCAAGTAGCTGAAACCTTTTCATTGTACGAATTAGCTAAGAAATACGTAATATGGCATACGTTTTCAAATAGAATCGTTCTCACCAAAGAGATGTCAATGTGACACTTAAGCTAACGTTCCGCACCCGTATTGGACATTATATAGATATTTAATGACATGTGAAAGCTTTTACGAATCGAAATAGTCTATTTATATTCTGTTTTCTCATCAGCTAAGTATATAGTCAGTGCCTTTATCACAGCTCAAAACCAAACTACCGGTTTTCTTGGAAACTCCTAGCACTGGAAACGCAAAAGCAACGCAATGAAAGTCGAAATTGGACTGAAGACGAGTAGCTGTCAAGTTGCTTTTGGTGATAATTGTGTAGAGTATAAAAAGTGACGTCTGTCAGGATGGAAATTAAACTTACGTGGGCAACAACTCAATTACAGCACATTCTTCCCCACCCCAATAATGATGAGACTCCCGCCATTCATTAGGAGCGGCTACGCAGAACTTTCTACCCTCTTCTGTTTTTAACAATAACAAAGTAGGCCCTTTGTAGTTGAGTACGTGGTGAAGGAAGCGATTTGAACCCAGTCCCATTTCGTCGGAATCGTAGAGGATCGTCCAGTGGGAGGGAATGGCACATAGAAATTTTGACAGGAATGACGCACTGGCTAATCCTACAAAAAAATAACATTTTTTGCTTGTAAGTTGGTGCACAGTTCTCAAATCTAAAAATCGCGTCATGCAGGTTGAATCTGTAAGTCCCACGCAATGCTGTCATCAGTTCATACAGGATAATGTTTGGCACACGTTAGCCCATCTACGAAAAAAGTTAGCTACGAACATGCATAACGGAAAAAATAAACGGATCAAGTCAGTCACACAGGCCTATAGAGTTAGTCCATAGTCTCCACCCATTTAGAAACGTAGCAATCTAGAAATTTTTATCCTGCCCTACCGACAGTACCGACCATCTGGCAACGTTAAACGTCAGTATGATTGATCTCGGCGCTCGTCAGCTACAGCACCACGGCAGCCAGCACCGACTATGAAACACTCATCGGTCGGGCCGCACAATGCACGTACAGTAATGGACAAAAGTATATAGACATTAGTTTAGTACAGTTTCGTGTCAAAAGAGGAGTAGTTTGTGTTCATCAAGTATTGTGGAATTAGTTGGGTGCTTTTAATACCATGCTGCGTGGTCCAGAAATTTCTTTCGATGTGAAATCTAAGATCATTGAGTTATACAAAGATGGTCAACGTCAAGTCGACATTGCCAAAAATTTGAAGCTGAAGCGTAAAGCAGTTTGGGATATATTGAACAAATATAAACAAAAAGGTATCTTGGAAGCCTCTAAGAGAAGTGGTCGGCCTAGAAAACTATATGCTAGATCAGTTAGATTAATAAAACTAATTTCGTCCAAAGATCCGTTTAAAACTCCAAGACAAATAAAAGCCGAAATCGAAACAAAAGGAAAACCGTAAGGACCGATTACAATTTGCATGGTTGCATCTTGATTGGAGCATCTGTGACTGGAAGAGGGTATGTTTCAGTGACGAATCCAAGTTCTATATGTTTGGATCGGATGGTGTTCATCACATTAGACGTCCTAGTGGACAAAGATTGAACCCCAAGTAGACTTTGCCCACTGTCAAACATGGAGGCGGGTCTGTTATGGTTTGGGGGTGCTTTTCGGGGTTTGGGATGGGACCTTTACATAGAATAGATGGCATTATGGATAAGTTTGTATACACAGACATACTAAAGCATGTCATGTTACTAAAAATATTCAGTCTGGTATCTCTTATATAAATGAAGACTTGAAGCTTGTCTCGAAATGGTTAGCATCTAACAGACTAAAATTAAATGTAAGTAAAACGAAAGCCTTGTTAATCGGAAGAAAACAATGTACAAATGTTCAACTGAATATTGATGGTGAAGATATTGAATTCGTAGAAAATTTTAAATACCTGGCAGTTTTTGTTGACTCTCGATTAATTTTTGATATTCATTATGAAAAAGTTATAAATAAGATTAGTAGTAAAGTGGGATATTTATCGAGAGTTTCTGGATGTCTGAGTTCATATAGCAGAAAAATTATCTATAATACCATCATTCTTCCAAATTTCTTGTACTGTTCGACTATTCTATATTTAGCAAATAATTCCATTTTTGAAAGACTGCAAATTTTACAAAATAAGTGCATGAGAATAATACTAAATAAAGATAAATATACTCCAATTAGGCAAATGCTTAGCAAATTAAAATGGCTCAATGTAAAAAATTTTATCAAATATCTTGTAATGATATTCATTTATAAAGTAAAAAATAATATATTTCCATCAAGTCTAACTAATTTAACATCATCAAATGTCGACCATCATTTACATAATACCAGAAATAAAGATGACTTCCATTTAATGACCAAAAAGTATAACATATGCTACAAATCTGTATTCCATCAAGGGTTGATTGAATATAATATATTATACTCGGAGATAAAAGACCAGAAAACTTCGACAAAATTTAAAGTAAAATTGAGAAATCACTTGTTAAATCTACAATTATAGGTTGCCCAGCATTTACATCATACACCATATGGCTTGAATTTACTAGTTCTAAGTTGTTTACAATTGTTCTGTTTATGTAGCCAAATGTGCTAAATAAATCTTTCTACTACTACTACTACTACCCGATATGGAAGACAATATGCCCTTAAGATCAATCTTCCAGCAAGATAATGTCACGAAGCACACTTCAAATCTCGCAAAGAAATTCTTTCTGGATGAAAAAATACCAGTTCTCAAATGGCCTTCACAGTCACCCGATATAAACCCCATTTAAAATCTGTGGGAATACTTAGATAAGCAAATACGAGATAAAGATTATTCAAACAATGATGCATTTTTGCCGCTTTAGAGCAAAAGTGGAGACAGATTGATGAATCTTATATCAAGAAACTTCTACAATCTATGCCGAGACGATGCCAGGCGGTGATTGATAATAATGGTTATGCTACAAAATATTAACACAAACATGGTTGGTTTTCTATAATTCAATGAACTTTGCTTCTTATTTCTATAATTGTTTTGCTTTGTCTATATATTTTTGTCCTTCATAGTTCCAGTTTTTTTCAATTAATGTTTTATTGAAGGGAGTCTAATGATTTATTTATGTATAAGTGAGTATTATGCTATAACGAATTATGTATACAGGTTGGTGTATTAATAAATCAAGTTAAAAAAGAAATACAGCACAATATTAATTTGTCTATATACTTTCGTTCATTACTGCATATCCAGAAAAGGATGTGTTGTAAATATTTCTGTGTCATTCTATTTTTTAAGAGCAAATGTATGTGGAGATATATGATGTATAAGTTATGTTTAGTAGGTGCATAGAGATACCTGGGTTTAAAACGTATAGGTATTTACGATACCACCAAACAATTGAGATATGCCCTCCCCCATCCTGCATAAAACCCAAAATTTACCTCCAACAAAAACATTTCTGATGACGAATGGGAGCTTATGAAACGTACAAAAACGAGGTGATTTTTTTTTCGTTTTTTCTCTCTAGCTCTGCCGCCACTGGACTGATTCTTAAAAACTACAAGCCTCTGTGTCCTTGGTATATTAGTAACCTTGTGTAAAAATTTCACGTAAATTCGACTGTACCAGTTACACACGGGCTAAGGATTACCAGACAGACAAACCGGCAGAACTGAGTGACATGCTTTCTCGTGATGTCCATGGCATACTCGTATAACATGAGAAAAAAATCTCATTTTTGAAATTCGTCGCGAATATTTCGTCGCCAGTGGCGTAGGAAGTATAACATAGTCCAAAAGCAATTGCAAACTAGTTCATCCATAGGGGATCATGAAGTTAGACACCTTTGCTTCACCCCTGGCGTCTTTGTAGACAGTAAAATAAGTGATCTTAGTAGGCTACGTTAATACTCCGAATTTCAGCTTGCTGATTTGACCCTTTCGAAAAAAGCACTGTATCTGAATCTGGACGTACCAACACCGCTGTTGCTTGGAGAATGGGCTTTTTGAGGCGTAGAATAGAGTGGTGGCAGAGCTCCTGCTAGAAGCCACGACATACTCATAGTGAGTAGATGTGGATGCGGTTTGGCTTGAGCAAATGGATTCGGTTGCTCCAACACTGGCGTGGTTAACTCCAAACCTGAAAGTAGACCGTCCCACCTTAGCTAAAATTGAAAATTATTTTTTATTATTTAACTCTATTATAAATATCTAGTTTAACTTCAAACCTGAAAGTAGACCATCCCACCTTAGCTAAAAGTAATTGAAAATAATTTTCTATCATCTAACTTTTTTATTATTAAACATCTAGTTTCGGTTGCTCAAGTTCAGTAATTGAAATTCAACAGATTACAGAAAGCGTCAAGTGAGCAACAAAATTAAGTATTTCAAGGTTTACATTTTCGAGATTAAGAATGTTGACAGATTATTAAATCAAAATAAAATTAATCAAAACAATTACATTAATGTGGCGTATTTTTGAGGAATTGTTCAAAAATAATTAGCAAGAGGTCCTTTTTTACAATTCTCGCATAAATATGAAGCGTTAATACATCCTAGGGAAAAGCGTAAAATTTCGCATCAAAGGTAGAACTCCTCCTTTTCTATAAACGAGAATAAATCAATACAAAATGGATGTAAACTATTTCAGCTTTTGAAAAAGCAATTTGGTTTAGGTGGAGGCAGAGTACCCTATTATAACATGGAGTTATATAAAATATTTGAGGCCTCAATTAATTTCAGTCATTCACCAGGGTTTTTAGCATCTTATTACCAGGATCATAAATCCATCTGAACCAACGAACCGAAGTGATCAAGCTGTCATGATTGTTTGATTTCCTGAGTACACCTAGACTATCATTGCAAACAAAAAGCTTGTAAATAATTCTGCTACAATCATAGTCTTAAGATAACCGTACTATTGATAACAATGAGATTAATAAAAAAACGTGTTATGTTGCAAAGCTTGAAAATCACAAAGGTGGCAAACAAGCGCGCACTAATTTTGCGAAAATTATACAATTTAGGAGAGGAATGTCATTGTCATGGAAAGTAAACAATAGCATGGTTAAGTAACGTATGCAAAATTAACGTGTGGCTGAGATTAAACAAAATAAATTGTTAAGGTCAAAATAGTAGAAGAAATACAACATATGCAAAAGGACGGCACAATTTTTTACCTGGATAGGTTGGGGTTTCAATCGGAGCACCTAAGAGACAAAAATATACTTAATATCAAAATAGTTGATTTCATGTGGAAAGAACATGGAACATTGAATCAAATATAAAAGTGTCATTAACCAGATTTAATCTATGATTTTTATCCAGCAAATTCATGTCCGTTCCTGAAAGAACATAATGAAAACATCAATATGCATTTTTTCAAACATACTCGAACAGAGTTTAAAATAAGTTGAGAAAGATTTTCTCAAAAACATTCTTACCAACAGCTGGAGATGGTTCATCCTCTTCCAAAGTCCTCCATGCAGTGGCTAAAGCATGTATTGCAAATCTATGTAGGGGGAACAGCAACCTTGGAATGTTAGCTTCTACCCAATGTGTAACATACTGAGCTGACAGAACTTTCTTACCATGGAAACAACTATCTACCACTGCCTAAAAAGGAAAACAATAAATCATGCATTTTTTGACATGCCAACATAACATTTTTCTTAGAAAAATCTTAAGTAGACAAACTAAAAACCTACATTGAGAGTTTTGTGCACAGATAAACACATCTGAGGCCCTTCAGAATAATGATCCATACTGATTTGATAAGTACACATTAATAATGAAGTGACATCTTCCGGAGTCAGTGAATCTGCAGAAGTTTCTTCTGACGGATGGGCCCACATCTTCACTAGTCTTTGACGTACAGCATCGTCGTCTATAATCTGAAAATTAATTTGATATTCAGGAACAAGCACTTTTCGAGTTACAAATTTGTCGTTTGTTCAAGGTTACAATTACTCTAAACTTTCAGAACCAGCAAGGTATGAGGGTTAATCCTTAATTTTGTACACCAGTTTTACAAAATGTCAAGTTTATATGTGGTTTTGCTTGTTTTTGTTCATTTGTGAAAATGATTTTCATAGAAATTGATCCTGGTGTGCAGAAAGTCATAATAGAATATCTGTAAAAAGGGTATGGCGCCCTCTCAGATTCATCTAAATATTGTGGCGACTATTGGAGGGTATGCAGTTTCTAAATAAAGTCAAATGCTGGTGTTGTGATTTTAAATGAGAAAGAATATCTTTCGAAAACAATATGGTGGTGGTTCAGCTGTAACTGTAACGACTGACAAACATGTATTATGCAAACTATAACTCAAAATTGCAAGATGGCCTTAAAAAAATGGCGTCAAGTATGTTGACTCTGAACTTCTTATGCAACACCATCATCTTCATAAATGATTAAGGTAAGATCATGTCAGTCAAACAGACCCATACAATTAGTCCATAGATATTCTCTCGATGCCCTACCAATAGTTACTGTCCAATGCCCCTCTGGCAACAATGACCCACACAATATATGCGCGACTGCGCCCGCCGCGGCAACGCTACAGCGGGTTAGCGTTCATACCGTGTATATGTTTTGTTCGCTTCCGTACGGATTGATTAGTCAGGCGGTGAGCTTAAATAGCAGAAATACGCGGAATGGAAATATCTGTATCATTCTAGGTTTTAAAAGCAAATGTACGGGGACATATATGACGTATTAAATATAGTGAATAAATATACTAAGTTCTAACATTTTTCACACACCCTCCTTCACTCCACACAATCCCCGAATCTCAACCAATACAAATTTTTTTCTGAAAATGATCAGGTGCATCTGAAACGTCAAAAAACGGAGTTTGAGCGGTATTTCCCAAGTAATAACGATTAGTGAACAGACAGAAGGACCAGCATAAATCAGTAAAATGAACTTTGTTGTACATGTCGTAAAACAAACAAAAAACATTATATCATTTGGACAAAATTTTTACCGCGAGGCTATTGAAATGATGGAGTATCAGGTAAACCAGAACATTGATGTTAGAAGGGATGAAGTACAAAAATAGAACAAAATAAATGTGGTTTTACTGCCAGAGGTGCAGCATAGGGATCAACCCTCATATCTCTTTGATTATAGAGGTGGACATATTGAGTGTAAATGACAATTCTGGCTTGGTCTTACTTTCTAAATGGCGTGTGATTACTGTGATGTGTTAAAGCAATGAATGAGTGTGTTGCACTCCCTTTGATGATTCAGCTATATAATACTTCTTAACATACCTTATGATATATCTATAATAAACCTACCGCCAAATAATTTTCACACTGCTGTTTAAAGGCATTGGTGGGTATGTAGCTGTGCTTGGTTTTACTGCTCTGATGCAGATAGTTGAACAGCTTCTCCCCAAAAACTGGATATCTTGAAAACAGGTTAGCCTAGACAGGAAATGTGATTATGAACATTTAAAAAGATAAAATTACATCAGATATTTTTATAATTTTACATTTGTTCTAGCCAATCACATTAAAGGTAGTATGTCATATTTTTTTGTGCGACTGTTGTTAAAAGTTCCAAGTCTATGGTTCTGGAAACTAAATTTAGACCTATAAATATTTCTCCACAGTGACATTTGTTTAATTTACACGTCCCATAAATTGCTTTTATTATTATCACATTTCATGTATCTGAATTTTTTTGGACTTGTGTGTTATTAACAGATTTGATAACTCTTAAGCTAGACAGTCAATAAACAATAAAGCTAGAACAAGGTGCATGAATGAATCTTGAATTTTAGAGGCATCCCGGCCACCATAAGGAGCCAGTGCATAGGCCGCTTAAGCGGGCCCTTATGCACCTCTACAATACTTAAATCACAAGCCTCGCCCTTTTAGCGAAGTTGAGAATCGCCTTGAGTCCAAGCTCCTTTACGTCCTGAGGGTCCAAAGTAATGGACCCCAGTATAGTCTGCCTATAGTAGCTCAGAGCTTCACAGCGTCACAAAACGTGCGCCGAGGTCTCTTCCTCTACTCCGCAGCGTTCGCACAAGGGATCCTCAACCACCCCCATCACGTGCAGGTGCCGCCTTAACGTGTTATGGCCAGACAACAGTCCCACCAGCAACCTTAGGTTGGCTCTACCCAGAGATAGGCAGAAGCGTCCATCCTTAGCACTGGGCCCTTCAATGAGCTCTCGTGCCTGGCGGAGATGTCTAGAGATACTTCTCCATTTCTGAGAGTGTTGTCTTGCAACCCACGTCTCCATTTTCCTCCTAGCTTTATGCGCGGTTACTCCTAGAGCTGGCTCAGGACCAACGAGCTTGGTGGCTGATCCTGTTTTCGCCAGAGTGTCCGCCGTCTCATTGCCCCTTATCCCAGCGTGCCCCGGTACCCATATTAACGATACCGAATGCCTCGCTGCGAGGCAATCCAGAGCCTCCCTGCATTGCAATACAAGACTCGAAGTAATCTTACATGCACTTAGTACTTTCATTGCAGCCTGGCTGTCGGATAAGATTGTTATTCTTCTCCTAGGCCCACCCTCCTCCAGAATGTGAGATACACAAGCCAGAATCGCAAAGATTTCCGCCTGGAAAATGGTGGTGTACTCACCGAGAGGCAGAGATAGCCTAGTTCTAGGTCCAGAGACCCCAGCACCTGAGCCCTCTTCGGAGACCGAGCCGTCCGTGTACCAGACCTGCCCGCTCACTGCGGAGAGTCCTCGGCTACCGGCGTCCCACTCCTCCCTCGTTGGGTACTCCACAATAAACTTGCGGCTGAAGCGATATTTAGGGGTAATACGATCACCCCTGCTTAGAAGGACGGGGTCCTCCCTTTCTAATTCGACTAAGATGGCAGTATGCCCCTTGACCGGATTCAAGAAAGCCCAGCTGCCCTGACTCCACAGTCGATGAGCGACTACTCTCGCTTCACCGCGGATCACCAGATCCAACGGTGGGAGATCCAACAGAGCTTCCATTGCACTCAATGGCGTTGTTCGCACTGCGCTTGTAATGCTAATACAGGCCAAACGCTGAATTTTATTGAGTTTGGCCTTAGTTGACTCAGTTCTAATGCAAGGCCACCAGACCAGGGAGCCGTACAAGAGAGATGGACGTACTATCGTCGTGTAGAGCCAGTATACCACTTTGGGTTTAAGCCTCCACCTTACACCGACAACACGTCTACAAGCCCACATCGAATTGCGAGCCTTGCTAACCTTGTGTTCCACATGCTCTCTCCAGTTCAGTTTGCAGTCCAGGATAATTCCCAGATATTTCACTTACTGGGACAAAACTAATCTAGTCCCAAAGAAGGTCGGCATGACCAGTCCGTCAAGCCTTCTTCTCCTAGTGAATAGGATCAGCTCGGTCTTTTCAGCATTAACAGAAAGATCGACTTCCCTACACCACGATTCCACGGAGCGCAGAGCGCCCTGCATAATTTCCGAGACTGTTCTACAGAAACGCCCCCTAACCACTATGCTTACGTCATCGCATAGGCTTGCGCGTAGACACCCATACTGCTGAGCCTAACGAGCAGTTCGTTCACCACGATACACCACAGTAGGGGTGACAGAACTCCGCCCTGAGGGCAGCCTCTAGCTACGTTCACGCTGCAGCTTACATTATTCAGCATAGCTGTTGTTACCCGACCCTCCAGAGTAGAGAGGACCCAATCTATTAGGATTGATCCAACCCCGTGTCTAACCAAGGCCTGTCTGATAGAGTCGGTTGTGGTGCAATTAAATGCACCTTCAATATCCAAGAAGGCCACGAGTGCCACTTCTCGCTGATCTAGAGTCTTCTCCAGCCTCCCGACCAGATTGTGTAAGGCCAGATCAGTCGATTTTCCAGCTTGGTATGCAAACTGATTTGCATGAATGACACACCTTTCCAGTGGGCCATCCCTTAGGTATCTATCAACTATCCTTTCCAGGGTCTTAAGCACAAAAGATGAAAGAGTAATCGGTCGAAAATCCTTCGGGCCAGTATATCTATCTCTGCCCGGTTTAGGAATGAATACCACTAGCCTGCCGCCAGCTTCTAGGTGTGAAGCCCGTGGCCACACATGCTCGAAACACCTTCAACAGGTAAGGAACAACCGAAATCCGTCCCTGCTGTAACATGGCCGGAAATACGCCGTCCAGACCTGGACTTTTGTATGGGGTAAACGAATCTACTGCCCATACCGTCCTTTCGAAGGTGACAATCTCCCTTGCCGTGCGCCAGTCCTCCCTTGAGGGCCTGCGCAACTGCATGCACTCTGTGATTGATCGCGCTACTGTGGAACCGGGAAAGTGCGTATCCATCAGAAGCCTCAGAGTATCTTCCTCGGAAGTAGTGTTCCCCCCCGAGGGATCATGCAGAGATCCCAATCTTACTTTAATGTCTTTGCATAGGACTCTGTGTATTCTTGCAGTAGCAGGAACAAGGTGCAAGTGCATTTTTGAAAAATATATGAACCCAACAGCAGTACCTGAGAAAAATGAAGCTTTAGATGTGCCAACAAATGTCGAAATTAATCAAGCCATTTAAGCTGTGGTTTGTGAAATAGAAATTCACAAAGTTGAAATTTGCATTAAACATCAGTTGTTTTATAAAATTTTAATATACTCAGTACTGACGCTTTAGGAACAATCTAGAGTCACCTCATATATGTTAAAATCCTCCCAGCCATTTTGAGGTGTAGGCTGTGAAATAGAAATTTGTAGAAATTTCCAATTACAATCCATCATCTTGATATATCTAGTATCACTCGGACAAATAATAATATCTCATATATACTTATCAGGCTGTTTCAACTGTAGACTGTAAAATAGAATGTTTTGTCCACATACATACCTATCCACATACAAAAACCATAACCCTCCTTTGAGGTAGTTGGGCAATAAGCTTTTCTCATGGACAACAAGACAAACAAAATGGCCGAAAACTTTACAGTATATATTCTTAGTATATTATAATAAATCCTCAAAATGTGAACTGATATAACAATGCAATTAATTCAAGAACTTTGGTAAAAAATATTTGAATTTTGGCTCTTATACTGATTGCATTTATGACATTGGAGGTGCAAGTCACAGCACTAAGGAAGTTTATAAATAGTGACAAGCTTGTAACATTAAAACTGACCTTATAACTCATTTTATTTTACATTTAGATATTCTTAAATATAATGCTAACAAGATTGCATGTTAATGGGACACTACTTTATTATATCACTATTGTATGTGATATACTGACAAATACTTGCCATTTATTGAATTAAACAGCATCTTCTAGTTCCCAAACAAACACTATTATTATGAGGCCACTTACTGCAGCAGATTTACGCTATATTACAGTAGCTAGAATAGCTGTGGCAGTAAGCAATAGATGATAACATTCCAAATTTGATAGCCAAGTGAAAACTGCTACCAACTGGCATGGCTATTCCATAGGCTCTACAATACAGCATAAAACTGCTGTAGAGCTGAAACACTTCAAGTTGTTTGAATAAAGGTAGCAATGTCAAACCTTTTATTTAACAACTCTGTACAAAAATGTAATTCCTTACTATGAACACCTGCATGGTGATTCCATGGTTTACACCTTCCTGCTTATGTGACTTATCTTCAAGGATCTGTAACCAAACAATAGTTTAATAACCACCTCTTTTAAACAAGTCTCGTGTGTGGTTGGTTCTACTGTGGTGATATTTACCTTGGCTAGTTTTTCCACTGGCAACATCAGACTGGGCTTCTCCTGGATGTCATTGCCAGACACTGTTCTGGAGATGCTATTTTTCTTGGAGCCATTGTGCGAGCTAGCGGCGGAACTGCTCTCCGACTTGGTCGATTGATGCCCGTGGTGATTCCCCATTTTTTTGTTACCTTTCTGGACGTTGTTATCTTCTTTCTCACAGCCACATTCTTCTAATAAGTATGATAAGTACTCTCCCACGGCGTCATACCTTTATTTTTTCACTGTCTTTGACGTTTACATCACTTCATCACTTGCGTGAGGTTAGGTCACCATCACTTGACTATCACATGATCAACCAATCTTTTGGTGATTGGCCCTCACTACTCAAAGTAGTTCAAATGCGCCATTGTCAATTTTGACGTTGACATAATTTTGCATTTTGAGTTTGATGTTATTTTGATAATGGAACAATGAAAAATTCTCAGAAATTTGTAAAAACATGTCAGATTTAGTAGCGAAGTGCGTATTACGTGTAGAAGTAAAGGAAGACAATCAGGATGAAGGTAATTTAAAGCACTATTCAACTGGATCCTTCTATCAGACATACATATCACTTTTTAGAAGCTAGAGGAGCTGAAGCTGTGTCAAAGACTACTGATAGTAAACATAAAAACAGGGGGCAAAGAAAAATACGTGACATTAGCGTCGAGACGTTTCCTAGCTCCTTAGAAAGTCCCAGAGAAGACTGGGGGCTGCTACCCCCTTCTTCAAGAGAGACAACAACTGGAAATGATATAGAAAAGGACCCTAGTGAAGAGAAGGTAGAAATTGGATTTTTCAGTGGAAATCCTTTTGTAGAAATCACCAAGGGTATTTTGCATCTATATAAAGAAGAGTAGGTATCAAGATATTTTTATTTTTCAATAGTATTAACCTTATCAATTTTTTAGTGTCTTGAGTAGCAGAAAAGAAGCCCTTACACTGTGCTTACTTGGTGTACCAACATCACTGGCATGTCATGATCTGCTTACATTCACAGCTCCTTGCCATGATGATATCTCACACATTAGGGTTCTTAGAGATTCTTCTCCAAACCAATACATGGCTCTGTTAACGTAAGTAAATATGTTTTATATATTTAGTTTTTTATAACTTGAAGATAGGGGCCCATAATGGATGGGGGAATAGTTGCCTCTACTCTCATCATTTTAGTTATTTTATGATATTAAGAGGCAGAAGGCATTCCCATATGTTAGGCAAAGGTTTGTAGTACCAGAAAGTGATAAGATTAAGAACTATGTAACAGTGCAGACAATTTTAGCTCTACAGTTTTGGCATGCCTTTTTTTATAAATATCTAACATGCAATAGTTATACCACAATTTGAATTTGTAATTCAATCATTGTTACAGATTTAGAAACCATGATGCAGCTACGGAATTCTTCTTGACATTTAATGGGGCCCCATATAGCACCTTAGAACCTGAGACAGTTTGCAGAATTGTTTGGGTGTCAAAAGTGGAGTGGGCCCAGGACGGTTTGCCCCCACCTGGACACACTGAGCTACCCATTTGTCCGGTTTGCCTTGGTAAGTTGTCACAAAAAAATATGAACTTCCTATTGTTTATGAGTCAGCATCAAAATGATGTGTATATGGAACTCTTTTTTTTATTTTTATATGACGAAATGAAGATATAACAGACTTCTTACAAAAAACATTACACAAGCTAAAAAAATAACAAAACACCAGGGTGTTTGTCATGTTTTTGAGGTTTATTTATTGTTTGAGATAACTCAAATATGTTTATAACTTATAAAACTGTATGAGAGCCAGTATTGTATTATTGACCACTACACTGGCAATCCTAGTATCAATTTTCCAGATACACTTATTGTTGTTATTATTGTATCAATTGCATTGTTATCAAGTAGGCACATGGCAGATTGCAGTACTTCACAGACATTTAATTGAAACACATTTTGTCTTAATCTTTATTTTCAGAAAGAATGGATGAATCAGTTGATGGTGTGTTGACAATTCTGTGCAACCATGCATTCCATGCTGACTGCCTGGAACAATGGGGAGACTCCACATGTCCAGTTTGCAGATGCGTCCAGAGTCCAGAAACTGCTGAAGCTTCTGAGTGCGAAAGATGTGGTACCACTGCTCCATCGCCAGACTCGCTCTGGATCTGTCTTATTTGTGGACATGTGGGTTGTGGAAGGTGAGAGCAGTTACTTAATTATTGAACATTGTGTGCATTAGTTCCCGTTTTATTTAATGCTAGCTCTCTGCGGTCGCGAAATGTGTAGGTGACGCCAGTATTGCCAGTAATAAGGTAGCCAAATTTCCCAAGCATGCAAGTTGGCTGTTAATTTATTAATGCCACCGAAGGTACAAAACGTGTTGGGTAGTTTATTGTATTACTTAAAAACAGTGTTTTATGTTAGTAACAATTTTAAGCATACGAAATCGTGGGTAATAGTGCAAAATAAAACATCTGTACAACATATTCAGAGGGGGCGATGGCAGGCCGCGATGTTGCTTGACATTGACGGTAAAGATTTGCCGCGATGTTGCTTGACATTGACGGTGAACATTTGCCGCGACAGTTGAATATTGCCAAAATCGACGATTTCGCCGAAACATTTTCCTGGGGTATCAATTAGTGATTTATTGTGGTATTTGTTCGTTCGCTAACTTCCATGTTGCCAAGTAGGATTGCATCAATTCTCTTAGAAATCATAAAGAACAGATAGTTTTTTCCTTATAAAGAAAAATGTTCATTCTTAAACATGACATCAACCCTCCAGGGTTATTGGTGATTATTCCTAAGATTTCATGTTCTTAGAAATTTTTAGCGACGGAAAAGGAAATGGAACTAAACATGATTTCGTGCGTTTGACCAAAAGACAACCATGAACAGCTGTTTTGTGCTTGGTCTCTCGCACCGACGATAATAGATATATCGTCGGTGGTCTTTTGACTCAGGGCAACGATGGTTGGCTGTCTTTTGGTCGGACGGATCAAAGCATCATGCTTAGTTTATTTAATGTCAAGTAGACCACATATACTTTAAAGCCAGAATCGTCAGCCATTTAGCGGTCACATGGTGATTGGGCTATTAAAGGTGAACTGAGATCCCTAACAGTTCCAACTAATTAGCAGCTATGCGCTCTCCGCATTGACCGATTCTGGTGTGACAGACGGCGCTTTGCGCTATCTTATTTTGGAAATCTCATAACTTCCAGCAACAGTCCGGGAGCTGGTAATTCCGAGCCCTAAAGACGGCTGTTAGCAGGTATGTTGTAGTTGCATGTACAAGAGGGTGTCGGCGCCAAGGTACCTATACTTATTTTCGCGCAAGCAGGGCTTCAAATTACAGTGGGTATGTTCAGGAGGTATATGGTAATAGATGCTTTTAGACACCCAAGGTGTAGTTGTTCAACCAGCTGTTGAGCCATATGCCTATAAATTACACTATTTTGAGCATTATACCTGTAGAAGAGTTAACTCCTTCATGTTAAAGATTAAGTGCCTTTTAAAATAAGAGAATCTGTTTGCATCAAATCCACAGCCATTAGTCTGCCGAATGGGTGACCTTATACTAGCCACATTTTCAATGTAGCATTCTGATTCTGGTCAAAGATTTGCACAGCTGACAAAATCAAAATGATGCCACGTAAGTCCGTATGACTTCACTGGCACACCTCAAAATAGTCACCTTTTCAAAATATCCTATTAGAGTTGTCGATGCCTGCCGTTCGTCCGAACTGTTGGATGCATGCGATGCTGACCCGTGGATGCGTACCTTAATCTGATGCGTAGAACATCTTTTGGATCAAATATGTATTGTGTATGCTCCTATGCACATGCAATTTTTCATTTCATGGAGATCTTTATAGCATAAAGACCTTTTTTAGATACCAAGGCGGACATGCGGCGTCTCACTACAGAGAAACGGGGCACTGCTATGCCCTCCAATTGGGCTCTCATCGTGTGTGGGACTACAAAGGAGACAATTTCGTACACAGATTGCTCCAGAATAAAGCTGACGGTAAACTGGTAGCCTCAGAAGCTCCACTTGCAGAATCGGAAGAGGCTCAGGAAAAAGTTGATTCGGTGCAGCTGGAGTTTACTTATCTGCTGACGTCGCAACTAGAAGAGCAGAGGATGTATTTTGAGGAAAAAATGGCAAAGTATGATTTATTTGGGTTCACATTTTTAATGAGATCAGATGGAAACGTAATACTTTCCTTTACAGTATTTATTCCGTGAATATATTATAGTGAGCGGACAATGCCCGAAGTAACTATCCCTTTTAAATAACAAAAGTTATGATTACTATTACATTGTGTAAAGAATACCATTTCTCTATTCAGACGGTTTTCAATCTGGGTTATGGATGAAGCATTGACTGCATTCGGGCTTAACCGATTTAAAGTCTAAAATACTCGGTTTAATAAAAAAAATTCTCCTCAATAGTTTGGCACAGTTCCCGTTACATATTAATGCCTCATATCTTGAAGATTTGTATGTTGCGCTTATAATGTCTTAAACGTTTCTATGAGATCCCCTGGTCTTTCTCTGTGCGAGTCTTGTTTCATATGGTAAAAATGTCTCTCTTCAACTGCTAATTTAGTCACTCGTTTCGTATACCTTGACCATATTTAAGTAAGGGTCTTATGTATTGCTTGTAAATGTTTGAAACTATTTCACTTTTTAACTAAAGGGTGGCCCAACCCTAACTCACGATGTTAATTGTGAGTCACACCTTAACGTCAAGTTTTTTGCCTAACTTTATTTGACATTTCTTTGTTTCAGTGTTTGACAAATTCAGTCATGGAGAGGTACACAATTGAGCAGCGCGTTAACATTGTTGAAGCGTTTATGAAAATGGGCGTTCAAATCAAAATGGATCTCGGTCACTTCGTGATTTTTTTGGTCAGCATAATCGACCAAATGTGTCCACAATCGGGAGAATTGTGCGCAAATTTCAGCAAACGGGATCTGTAGGAGCTGTATCACTGATGCGAATTTTTAATAAAGACTTGAATTTATGCTTACAAGGTCGAATTGACTCAAGAGCTGAAGCCAAATGACCATTTCAAGCGTCGCCAATAGGTCGAATGGTTGGTTGAACAGACAGACGTGTATAATGACTTTACGAAGTAAATCATCTTCAGCGATGAGGTACACTTTCACCTCAGTGGATTCGTTAACAAGCAGAACTGTCGCATTTGGGCAAATGAGAATCCACGAGTGATTGTTGAAAAGCCGATGTATCCACAACGAGTTACTGTTTGGTGCGGTTTATAGGCTGGCCGCGTAATCGGGCCGAACTTCTTCGAAAATGAGGTCGGCCAATCAGTTATCGCGAATAGAGTTCGCTATCGCGAAATGATAACGGACTTTTTGTGGCCTGCAATTAAGAATATGGAGCTGTCCGGTATGTGGTTCCAACAACTTGTCACACGGCCAATGAAACAATGGCTCTTTTGCGCGAGAAATTCAATGGCCGTGGTTGTGTTGTCTCACGTCGTGGCCGCCACGATCATGAAATCTGCCAACGTTGGTGATATTTAAAAGAAAAATTGTACGTCAATAACGTCAATAAGCCAAGAACAATTCAAGAGCTAAAGGATGATATAATTCGGCACATTAACGACATTTAACCTCATTTAGGCCTCTGCGTCACTGAGAATATGGATCATCGGGTAGAGGTATGCCACCGAAACAGTGGCGAGTATTTAGCCAATATTTTGTTTCATACATAATTGTGATAGATCTTTCTATCATAATAAAAAAAATAAGATAATTCTTTTTCTTTTTGTTTTATTTACAATTAACATCGTGCTTTATTGTTGGACCACCCTTTATTAAATTCATATGCGTCTCCCACACAATTAATTACATGGTATGTTCTCTTTTAACTAATGATAGCTCGCTGTAAATCTTTTTACTATTTTTGGCAGTTGGTTCACGATGTCCTACGAAATAAATAGAATGATTAACTGTAGATGTGCGGTGCTTAACTTTCCTAAGGGACATTGCACACAGCGCGAGCCGATCCTCAACGCAACGCTACTCGCTCTCGCACGCACACATGAATTGGGTGAATTGATTTCATTCACTTTCTGAAAATACGTCAAATAAAGTTATTGAAGACTGTCGACATTGTAGTTGAATCTTCAGGCATTGCTGTGTTTTATGTTGAAGTTATATAATGGTAAACTCAAATCGCATGATCATGAAAAGCACTGATTAACGTATTATCTGATAATCTAATTTGAAAAGGTTAGTTTCTTATAGATGTCGCTGTAGCTACATGCTCGAATATAGTTGGCTACAGTGCCATTTATGAGGCACCAACCTTAGTAGATTTCTAATTATTGTGGAGAGGAGCTGTGACAAATTCTCATAAATGACGGTACAGTGTCATTTCATCTCGGATAATTCTTCGGATGCGCGAATATAGCATTAGGTTGGCTGTCTTCAGGTAGAAAACGTCAATCACTGCCCATATGTCGATGAAAATATTTTCAAGGCAGTGACACAAAACTAAAGACGTTGTGAGCCTACACAAACGTCCGCGTCTAGGTGCCATTGCATATGTATGTGTGTGTGGGAGATGAATGCGTGAAAGTGATTCCTGTCGTTCTATACTGACCCGTCAAAAACCGTGAAAAGACCTATAGATCTAATTCAAATAGTTCAGTTTTTCAAGTTTTTCAAAACTATGTTTTACTTACAGACTGGAGAGTCAGTTGTCGGTAGAAACGAAGCATTTGCGTGAAGAAATAATGGATAAATCGGAGGAAAACAAACAGTTAAGAACGAAATTGACCACTCTTAGTAAGGAAAAACAGGCTTTAGAGAAGAAGTTACTGCAGCAAAGCACAAAGTAAAATATTCAACAAAACTGTCTGAGATTTCCCTAATCTGAATGTAACTTTTTAGGTTAACTGCGACTTTGAATGAGTTAAATGAAGAGCGGCAGTTGGGTAAAGCATTAAGAAACAATCAACAGCAATGGCAGGCTAAAATAACAAAGCTGGAGGAATCATTAAATGAATTAAAAATTACGAAAGATAAGGAAATTGCAGATCTGAAAGAGCAGGTCTGTAACGAGATCTTGGAGAGAAATTATTTATAGTAGCTACCTTAGATTGTCCCTAATGCAATGAACATCATTGTCAGGCTATTGTATCTTTGCTAGACTTGCGTAGATCTGCGCAGATACGCGTTTTAAGGGGTAGACATTTCTCTATTGCTTCAGTAAAAATACCAATAATTTTCTCAAACTTCAACTCAACATTCAAGTCAGTGTTATTAGAGACTTTCCAAACTGTTGTAGGGCATGAAGAGACCGTCTTCCGTGATGGGTCGGTAGGTGATTCGTTTAAAATTACATTGCCTTTTGGATATCAAAGAACTTGGGCTTATGAAATCTGCTTTTATGGATGGTGGTAAAGATGTTGTCAATTCAATTGAACCCCCTTGTGTTAGCATTGATTAATTACATGATTCATACCATAGGAGTTGAAAAAATTTGTAAGTTGAGCTACCTGCAAATCATTGCTACCCAATCTGACATTAAAGTCACCAGTTACAATAACATCCTTCTCATAGTCAAGCCTGTCCAATGTGTCCGCTTTCCGGAGATCTGTAGATTGTAAGAATTTGAACATTATCACGACGTATGCCTGCTATCTCAATTGTTAATTCCTCAGCCTCTCTAAATGTACTTGATTTCAAAGGTTATCCCTTACATAAATTACAACACCACCATGCACATTGTCTGCTCTACTGAAACTAGAAAAAGCTTGATAACCATCCATTTAGACGTAGTCAACACCTAAAAATCAATGTTCATTTAAGCACATTACGTCATACTGAGACTGAGCCAAACAGTGCCATTTGGTCAACTTTTCGACGAAGGCTTTGTACATTAAGATGCAGAAGTTTAACCATGTCTTCCTCAACAACTCTACAATATTTACTTTTACATGTTACCCTAGAAGGTGGAGTGTTACGATGCAGAACGTTATTGATCTTAGAGCTTAAGAAAAAACTGGTCTTTATCAAGCGCTTGATCAAACTCAACAGTTTTTGATTGATATTTAATTAGGAAACACCCTTTATTCTTATAATCCCTGTAACTGTGCGCACCTAATAAACTTTCACACATTGATGTCCCTGTATATTTGACCTACGGGTAGAATGATTTTCGTTACCCGCGTGGAGAAATAGGTTTGTCGCTGCCGCTGCGCTGGTGACTCAGCGACTGTGTGTTTCGGTGGGATCGCCATTCCGATAGCAACGTGGCCTTTGCTTGTCGAATGGTTTGGAGCTGGGGAAATTTGGTTCCTTCCAACAATGAATTTCTGTTGATCATTAATTATTTTTGCCACCATTTTTTATTTTAATTTATGTTTTCAGGTCAGGGATCTGATGTTTTTCATTGATGCCCAAAGGATAATAGAAAAGTCTGACGATAAAGAAGAAATTGCGAGTGGAACCGTTACTATTGGTGAAGCACCAAAGGCTGTGAAGAAACGGTCGAAAAAGAAGAAATAAGTGTGAACTAAATGCTGATATTAATAAAGTATTCATCTTATGCTTTCTCTATCTGTAAGTTAAAATAAAGTTTATTGCATAACCATACGGGTGTTTCATTTTCGAGCCTCACCATTGGGATTATGGAAATCAAAGAAATACGAGGGAGCTAAAAGGCACTTTGTAAGTTCTGCAATTCAATCAGTGACAGGCTATATGGATGCTAAAGACGTTGCTTTAACGTCGATCTGCAATTTTATTCCTGAGTTGGAAATAACACGAACAACAATGTGTTGGCCAAACATTGATCCAACTGTCATTCCAAACTTCTTGGTGTCGCGTAATTCCATTTTTCAGGTGCTCCATTACCGCAGGATCATCTACACAGGCTCCAAATAGCAGCCATCATGTCGAGCCACAGTGACATTCGTCATTTAAACGTTGCTTGTATCCATATGTAGCATGTTTCAGAAAGTCGTGCCAATATTCCCACGGTAGAAATTACATCCAAAAATAACAAAAAAAGGTTCTCATAAATATGGGACCCTTACGAAGATACAGGGTGATGAAGTTTTATTTACGAAATTTAAAAAAATATCTACGAGCGGATAGAGATACTGAGTTAGGATTTTAGAGGTTCAGTGAGCACATTATCAGCAATAAACACACCGAATTTCCCGGCCCAAACGAAACCAGGGATGTAGAAACTGGGATTCCTGGACCCTCAACAGAAAATATTTTTTTCGTCACCGGAAAAAAGGATTGCATTTTATAAAAACCCATTCAGTTTTCCATAAATTTTGTTACTTGAAGAATTTTTGTCAGATCCCTCGTTTTGGAGACATTCAGGTTTGAATATTTTTCAAAGGAGATATCACAAATCGTTAGTAACCTCGAAGTATACAGAAGGATTTCAACACTGTTCGTACTACGCCCGGTATTTCTCAAAGAACGAGAGTCTTTGTGGCGTAGATCCTGGAGCACAGGCTTGTGTTGAATCTAGAGGAGGTAACTTTCAACATCTGCTTTAGGTTGGATGTTATGTCCCCATAAACTACGTATTTTTAAAATTAACGTTTTCTTTGTTTTACCTATAAACAAAAATCAGTGGCAGGCACAGGAAAGGTGTAATGAATAGTAAGCTACTGTTTGAGGACAAGATACGAATATTCAATTCAATTCAATATTCAATTAATGTTGTAATCAGGTGCCATATTATGCCGTATAGTGTTTCCAATATCAAGAGTCTCGGTGTTTTCAGAATAGGGGAGGTTAAACCTTTTCATAAGACTATTTTAGGATTTCACCTCAAATATTCAAACCTAAATATCTACAAAACTAGCAATCTTACAAAAATTCCTCAAGTGACAAAATTAACGGAAAATGGTATTTTATAAAATGCACCTCTTTTCCCCGAAAAGGCCACTGCCTTAGAAAATAATTAGCACTAGGAGTCTATTTACCCCAGCTTATGTGTCGCTCGTTTAGTTTACACCGGGAAACTATGTGTTGATAGCTTGTGATGTGCCCACGGCACGTCCGAAATCTTGACCCAGTGTCCGCTCCGCGGACTGGGAAGGGCAGCATCTTTGGACCCATATTTAAAAGAATTTTTTTCTCATTGACTAAAGGGCAAAAGTCCTACGGACCACCCAGACAAACAAATAACGAATATGGTATAGGAACTTTTTCAGTTTTGGACGTACTTTCGACAGTAGAAATATTGGCTTTCTGAAACACCCTGTATAGTAATCGCCTTGTTAATGACGCGCAAGTGTCGTTCGTAAAACAAAAAATGCGTGATGCGTTTGCCCAGATTGTCGCTTATTCTTCTACCATACAACGTGTCATAACTGGGATTTCGATCCGACGTTTTGTCTACTGTTCTCCATCTTCAACTTTATTCCTTCTGTTGGACCTAATAGTGGAGTTTCGCATAGATAGAGGCTTTACTTCTGATCTTTTAGCAGATTGTATATCGTACTATTAGTTCTTTTCACGGTTTTTGTCGGTTACATCAAAATGTCGTTCGAAATAAGAACTGCATAAATAGTTTATACGTTTATATAGGCTGACTAAATCCAATAAGAATAAAGATTTATTCACTTAATGAAAAATATTAGAATTTTTGCTCAGTGATTCAATCTACTTAAATTCATTTTGCACAGCCCCGCAGATCATCAGTTTATTTTCAGTGGAACTGCGTTTTCTCTAAAATTTGCATTTACAATTACAATGCTAAATGATGCACGTCAAACCTTACACTGTTGGTTTTCTATTTCTATTACACATTTTCCTAATATATTTTAGCAACGAATAATATTGTTTTTTCTTATGTATTGTAATACGACGTTTGTTTGGTGCCAAGCCAACCCATAAGACACATTTATTTTTGTATCGGCTACCAATTATCATGTCCGTATTCAGATTTATTAATGAAACACCGTCAGAATGTTGGCCAGTATTGAAAACTACTGTAGTATTTCATCGAAACAATTTTAACTACGGCCAAAAACTATCAGAAATATCTGCCTAAATGCCAGAAGACCGCGGCTGCTATGAAGTTTCCAAAGAGACTTTGTTAATCCATTTTTGAACTGCCTTAGAGAAAAGTCATTGATCAGTCGGACAGTCCTCCTCTGGACAGCATCGACCATGAATAATGTAGTCGGGGCGCCAGCACCCCAAACGTGTGAGCTCTCGAGGCTAGGTCTCATCTGGGCATTGAATAGAGTGAGGAGGTCATGTGGAGAAAATTACTTCTTAGCCCTAAACAAATGGCCTATTTTTCCCCAGCAGCTGCCGCTATTGACAAGATGTGTTCGTGCCAGATCAAGTCCTGGGTGATCTGGACCCTGACCAGCCGAAATGAACGGCTCTTTGGCAGAACTCGGCCGTCCACAGAAAACGGATGAGCGCTAGGACGCTTTTTGTCATCAAGGACAGAGTACTGTGGTTTGGAATCATTGAACTGTACAAGATTGTTGCGTCCTCAAGCAGTGATAACCTTCAGATCTCTCGTCAGAGAGGAAGGCGCTGCTAGTCGTCTTTTCGCCGGCTCACTGACAGAGATCGGCTTGTCTATCTGAATTCCTGCTTATAGAGCGCTGTCATCAGCAAAGCAGTGGATTGGATTGATCATACAGGAAATGAGGTCGTTGATATCTAAGAGGAACAGTGTCGGAGCCCAGACAGATCTCTGGGGAACACCCGCATTGACGTTGTTTGATAAAGAAGAAAACCAGTCAATTACGATGGATATCTTGCGGCCAGAGAGAAAGTCAGCCCCCATCTGCAAATATTCTCTGGGGGGCCATGTGATGAAAGTATGCATAAGAGGGCAGCGTTCCAATGCTCATCGAAGGCTTTCGGGATATCAAGAGCAACGATATGAGCCTTATTTTAAGACTGGATGAGTTTACTGCAAAAAGGTCTCCTGTGGGTCGCTGGTACTGGAAACCATACTGGCTGTCGTCAAACCATGACGTTCGGTGTAGTCCAGTTAGCGACTTATTTACCTCTCCACATCACCTTACTTATAACAGGAAACAGAACTATAGGCCTGTAGTTGTGAGGGTCGGTCTTAGATCCCTTTTTTGGGATAGGTTCGACATGATCAAATTTCCAGTTTTCTGGAAAGGTGTCTGATTCGTAAGATATCTGAAAGAGAAGTTTCAGTATCACCTGAAATTTGTAGTTTTTCGCTCATAACTCTGCCGGTACTGGACCGATTTTCAAAGCTCTACGATCTTTTTAGTTTGAATCAATAGCTTAAATAGAAGAAACAATCTGAATCCAGTAGTTACCGATGCATACTCGTAAGCCGCTTAGTGGACCTTTTTGTAATTCCGATCGCGCTGATTTCCGAGATGGCAAAAACCTTGAACCCTGGCTATCTTATACTTTCTCATTCCAACACATTAGATCCCAATATAGTCTGACGTATTTACACGTATCTATAGATACCCACACCAATGAGACCTGATGCTCGTCTGCAAAATCCTCCAAAGTCTTCTTACGCTTCAGGACGAATCCAGATGTCATTTCATAAGCACTGATCGTTTTGATTGCCATCAGCTACTCTACCAGTTAGTTATTTGTTCCGTAGCCCATTGTCTTTTGTGGATGCAAGATATAGAAGAGAAGGTCCAGTTCTGGGTTATAAACCATTTGTTTAAAAAACATTTTTATTTGATCTCTCAGCTATTGATTTACTGATTCCAGTAGCTGAGAAATAAGTATTTCGGATCTGTTTCAAAACTTGTAAAGAATCGTTTGATACGGTTCTGTAGGCGTCAAAGTTTTCGAGTTGTTTACCTATACGGTGCCTGGTCCGGAATCGATTTTTCAAAGGTGTCATATGTGTTATGCATGAGATGCTCGTTTGACGCTGTGTAATGTTACGTCGAAAATGAGAGAGCTAAAAGATTTAGGCTGATGAAAATTTAAGCTGTTTGCAAAGATCTGACTAAAACAGACAATGCTTCCGAGGCAGTGTCTGAGAAGCCAAAAGATCAACGAAAACAGTCAATGAAATGAATATGAAGTTCGCATATTATATTATTATTATATCGTTAGTATTTAATATAATATGTTATAGTTGTCTTTCTATATTTCAAAATGAAATTACATTCTACTAGAACCTATCTGTTCGAAAACATCTTAAAAACGGTTCCAAAATTATCAGAATGGTTACTTCGATGGGGTAGTCACAGAGCTGATTTTGCGTTTCAGTGTGAGATCTGAGGCAATCCAAGATCAGAGGTAACTAGAGGTAGCTCCTGTATCAACGCTGTTTTGCAGTAGATCTTACTATTTTATCAAATAAACTGTCAGTTATTAGCCCCTCAGATTGTTCTGTACTCAATCAACAGGCCAATCGTTAGCAGCATAGGATGGACTATCAGAACCTGTACAAGAAAGTGAAGGCAGATATTCACTCTTAAAAAGCTACGAATCCGAAACAAACAAGTATGTAACCTTGCTTTGGATACCAAAATATGAACAGCGCAATGAAAATGAGAAGACAGATCAGCTAGACCAATGAGTTGCGGCATTAGTCCAATGCGATCAAATCCTTTTTATGGTGTGACTTCGGTGTGACTGGAGCACACATCAAGCAGTCTATAAAAGAATGCTCTAAAAAAAAAACTCCCTAGAATAGTGGAACTACCAATCACGGCACTTCAGTACACCTCTTGTTCTACTGCGGAACCTGGCAAACCTGAGGTTTTCAGATGTTTGGCATTACGGATCAAAAACCGGAATGCTACATGTACAGCCTTGTCTTAAGGTTGTGGAGTCTGAGTAAAGCATGTAGGAAATGTACTAGTATATGGGGATTATGGTACATCCATTTGAGTCGCGAACAAAACTGTAAAGTATTTATAATTGTCAATGCTTGCTCTACTGATGTTCCATTCTAATTTCAAATTTTTATATAAGAACCACAGTTTCCTGTTATAAAGTTGCCGACGTTTCGGATAAAAATATTTTTTGTCAGGGCTCTACAAAAAAAAAGAACACCAACTTCCACCTGAAGGACGGTAACACATGCTTTCAGAATGTCATGTGATTAATTTTGCTTCTTGCCAGGTATTATGTAAAAATGGATATTAAAAAAAGGATGTCCCAGGACGCATTAGAGATAACAAAACATGACAATGCAGCTAATAAAAGAATGGATATTACAGATTTAAAGAAGAGAAAAAGAAAAGAAAGTAAAACCACCCCATAATATTTATCCACAACAAAAGGGCAAAACAACAGGTATCACAAAAAAGAACTCCAATGTTTACTATCAGAAATAGTTTCTTCTTTCAGCCTGTCTCTAGCCATGCAAACATGACATTTAAGTTTTATTTGACCACCACAGCTTCTTAGCGGTAAGTTGATTATAGTTTTTTTCTTATAATACCTATAAAACTTCATCACCAAATAATTCATTCCAAAATTTTATCTACATAATGGATGATTTTGTTTTTGGTTGTATATGTGTATATGTTAGGAGACAAACTAAAAAGATGTGTATGCCTTAATAATTTTATATAATGTATTCTTAGATGAAATACATCTATTTTTCATATTGTTAATCAGGTTATTTAGTTTAATTTTTTTGTACAACCCTTGAAAAAGGCAATCCATTTTTTCCAAACATTTAGCATATATAGTATATAAAAAAGACGGTTGTTAAAATTTTCTCTATGAGCTTTGGATTAAGTACTTTTCATTTACCATGATTGCTATAATACTCCTGATTCAAATGGCCTATGAAATATGTCTGTCAATCCGCCATTTGACAAGTTAAGATTATTTAAACGTACAACTAATCTCTGTTAAAATGTTTTATTTATTCAATCTTCAAATCTTTCATCATATGTTGGTTAGTTTATCCTGACGAATGGTGTTAGTAGGTGTGATGGAGTTTTTCCATCAAAGAAATTTTTACGAGATTCTCCATATTTATTTATTTTTAAACTTATTTTTACATCGACGCGATGCGTAAACATTATACAGGGTGTTTGCAAAAGATGGTGTAAAACTCAATGGGCAATTCTTGGCACCGTTCCAAGATTATTTTGTCCTCCAAAGATTTTCGGAAAATCGCGTCGATTCATATATACAGGAAGAACATAGTTTTTGTGGAAAGCACACTAAAAATCGGATACTTGATCGCTTTGTGTCTTTGAAATGAAGCCGTCACTTTAAAATTATCATCAGAGGGTATCTTTGTGGTTCAAAGAATCACCTTCCGAATTTTTTGTGCATGGTAATTCTAAACTATGATAACGTTCTCAGCCTCTTAATATCCAAAGCATGGCACGCGTGGTATCATGCTACCTCTAATCTCCGAAAATTCCTGGAAAATCTGGCACACATACACATTATTTTTATCCCGAGATTTTCTCATAACCCTGAAATTCCACACTGAAATAGCCGAAAAGCCCACAAATCGACGACACCTTCGTGATATAGCGGTTTAAAATTTTGAGGTGTTCTCAAAATACATCGCAAACTTTTTCTTATTAGAAATCGCTCAGTGGTGGGGGGAGTATATAATTTTCACTTTGTGTCGCTTTTGCTAGTGTTCAGGTTAATTTTAACTGGCATTCAAAAAAATACTGAAAGCAACATGGTATGTTTTACCGAGCGTTTGCGGGGGTGTGTTGTTTTTTTCGAAACGGAATGTGATTCACGAAATATTTTTGGGGTCGAAAAATAATGACTGTTGTGGTGTGAAATGGTTTTTGTGTTTGCATAAGTGTTTTATGTTATAATATAGGTGTTTATTGTAACGTTTGAATTTGAAACCTGAGAACTTACTTTTTAGGGAAAAATTCCATTTGCCTTCTTTTTCAATATTATATGAAATAGAAAGATACTCAGGAAATTGCAGTGAAACGCTTTTTGTATTTCAATGGAGTGATTTATGTTACAAAATATGTGTTTAAGTCTTTACTGTAAATTTTTTATTCGAAATTCATCGCGATGATTAGGAAACCCCATGAACTATTTTCTAGAAAAAAGCTCCCCATTTTTTTCTAAAATGGGGATTGAAATAGAAATTCAAGCAAATGATATATCATCTTTCGACAAATGTTCCAAAATAGGATATTTATTTAACGATATGAGCAAAGCTAAAACAATGGCACTTAACAATTACTGAAATATGTATTGTGTCTGTATGAAGCAATTTATGGTATAAAATAAAACTTTGTGCATTTTTAAGTTTGAATAAGCTATGGTAAATCTCAAAAGACATGATAGGATAAATGAATAATATTATATTCCTCAAAAAACGTTGGTTTGAACAATTTCTGTGATGAAGATATTTGCGTATTTTGAAAGATATTTAGAACCGTTATTTATCTACTTGGCTGACATTTATTGGTGTGATTTTTGGATGCTCAAGTTCAACTTTTTACGTAATATTTCTCAATAGAGCAATCAGTGCCTTTAATACATCATATTATTATTTCTTCTGATAAAAACATTTATAATTTGGAATTCCTATTCATATTTTTGGTCATTGCATTAAAAGATGATCCTTTACTTCCTAAAATAAATAAAGTTTTCTTATCCCGCTTAATTTTGATATTCTGGGTGAGGAGGCAAATATATGTCTGTCGGCAGCATCAGGAGCTTAAATACATCAAAAAGCACTGTTTCTCATATCATTTAATTATGAGACAGAGATCTCGTACAGTATGAGATGTCAATCATATGTTAATTTATTGAAAGTCTAAATGTACGTTCAACTTTGAACATTCAAATCAAATTACCAGTGCGTTTACATGCTGATCCAAAATCCTCCTACTGGACCTTTTCTGTTGTTAATAGTATTACGCATGAACCAATTTTTATGATCAAAACAGAGATGCCGTGCCTGGATTGATGAAAAATGGGTAATTATCGATTGACATCTATACAGGGTGGAATCAGCTAGCGACCCTGATACTGGAACTTAATAATTTTACAAATTTTGGACTTTTTGGATCTGCATCCATGAAAACACAAGTTGGTTATAAAAATTATTGACAAGAAGTGTACGCTTCTTTCCTTAGAAATATGTTGTTATCTGCTAGGTGATTCCGGATTCATAAGTGCGTGGTGATAATTTCCAAATGGAATACCCTGTATGTATATACACTACGTATCAAATGAAAAAGTTTGATACAGTTTGGATCGATACTCCGAGTCTCGGAAAATCCAGTAACTTTTGCAAATACTCGTAGTGTAGCAAACGTCTGAACAAAATGTCATGTCCCATAGTTTCTCATTACACGTTTCTTAAATTCCGTGTAATATCTATACAGTGTTTATCAAAGCAGAATTTACTCATTAAAAAAAACACAAATGGAGCATCTAGTATAAATTTACGGTTTTGGGGTTATCCTTTTTAAAGCTTCATTTTGGTATACAATTATTGGAGGATTAGATCACTAATTTTTTTTGTTATTGAAATTAAATATACCACATTATTCGTGGAATGATAGGCTTTTTAGTGAATGGGACGTGATTTAAATGAGGGCTTGTACTTATACTCCATCTGTAAGTTACTGATTTGCTGTCAAAGTTAAGTGTTTTTTCGAAGAAAACTACGTAGATCTAGAAGTAGCGATCCAGATCCTCTCTTCAAATATACAAGATATTCCAATGAAAAAAGAGAGCGACATATTTTCAAAGAGAGAAACGTATATTTTCATTCAATTTAATATCTTATGTAATAACGGGGCTATGGACCGATTACCTACTAAAGACTCACCCTTTGTTCGCGGAATCAAGTTATAATCTCAGAGTGGCTTTGAATGTTTGGCCCAGAGTTTTGCATGTTGATGAACGTGGTGTAAAAATACACTTTGCATTATTTTGTTTTTGAAATCATTGCTGATTGTTACATAATTATTACAGAGTGATGAAGAACAGAAATTGGCGGTGATCCGCAAAGCATTCGCTATGTTCGACACCACCAAGTCGGGATACATTGACACCATGAAAATCGCAACCATACTGAATACCATGGGCCAACTGTTCGATGAAAACGAATTGAATAGTCTTATCACTAAGAATGACCCAGACCGTACGGGAAAAGTAAACTTTGATGGATTCTGTGACATTGCCAGTCACTTCTTGGAAGAAGACGATGATGAGTCTACGACGCAGGAACTCAAAGAAGCTTTCAGGTAATCACGAAAAAGTCTGTCAGCCGGTTTTGCCAATGTGACGTATACAAACTTCCTATTTTCCCCACATCCTTCTATGACTACACGGTACCTACGTGGTAGCTTAGGTATGAAAATTTTCCAAACAACGCAACACCTTAAGTTCATAAAAACTTCACGAAACATTTTGGCGATATTCCAGTTTTGTTATTAAGATAAGATTCATCTTTGATTCTTTTTAGATCCAATCCTTACAATCTAATCCACTCCCGTAGAAGTATTGTAATAATTGTGAAAAATTTCGAAAATGAGATATTATGTCTTTTGGATGCTCCATGATATCTAGATCACAAAAAACATTCAATTCCATGTGGCCGTTTGTTTGTCTGTCTGTCGGTCCGTCTGTTTGACGGCTAATGCTGGTATAGCTTAGGAAGTACCGCTTGGATTTTGATGAAATTTTCACAGAAGATTACTACTATGCCAAGAACAAAAAAGCTTTGTAGTTTTTGAACATTGTTGCAGTTTTTTGACATTTCAGAGGATCATTTTTTGAAAAAAATCAGGGGTTAAAAATTGGATGTTGGGGGCTGTAGGGGGAGAGAGAGAGAGAGTACATGTCGACAATTCGGTGCTAGCAATTTATTCGTTTCCAGTGACAGTAATTCTTCGCACCTAATTTACATATTTCGTACATCATACATTTACTCCTAATACTTGAATGATAAAGATATATTTTCGATATAACTGTGCCGGACAAATCAACGAGCGTACGCCTCTATGGTCTGAATGCTGAGGGATGACTGAGCGATGATATCACGATGTCAGTATTAGTGTAAATAACACCGGGCTGATTTGCGACATTGATAAGTGGCGGGTACTGTCGGTCGAGTGGTAGGCTAGATCATATTACTTGGCATGAGCCAGTTTGACTGACGATCTATTTAATTTCTTGGTTTTACATGTTTGTAGCTAATGTTTTTCTAAGAGGGACAACTATTGACGCTATTTGTTTTTTGCAGATTATATGACAGAGAAGGTAACGGATACATCACCACCGCCACACTCAAAGAGATCCTAGGTGCTTTAGATGACAAACTGACAAACAGGGACTTGGACGGTATCATCGCTGAAATTGATACTGATGGATCAGGAACTGTAGATTTTGATGGTGAGACTCTGAACTTAACATATAGTCGTAGTAGCTTTATGTTCTAGAATGGCTAAGCAATTTTTGCTCTGACCTGTACGTTTTAATTTTGCATAATAATTGCGTTTTAACGATTTTTTTTAATTGCAATATATGTCTGTCATTTTAGTTTATCCGATCGGTTATGACTTCCTGATCCAGCGAATTATGCATAACATAACATTTACAGATTTGGGTTCTTTTGCACCGCTACATGTTCCTGCAGAGGTGTCAGATTGTCTTGCTCTTACATACGAGGTCCCAAAATGAGTTCCCTTCAGGTGTTTTTTTAACTTTGGGAGGAGAAAAAGTCTCAAGGGTTCAAGTTAGGCAAATAAGGAGGCTGAGGAGCCACAGGAATGTTTTCATGGGCCAACAACTCGTTTATTGAAATTGCTGTGTGACAAAGAACATTATCGTGTTGCGGCACTTAGTTGTTTTTTCGATGAACGGTGGCGCTAATCAAATTTAACTCTTCCCCGATCAATCTGACTGTCAACCGACGATCTGAACGCACAAGATGTCGGATTGTATCGATACTATAATCGGTTCTTGAAGATGAAGGCCTTCCCTTTCGTGGTTCATCTTCAATCGACAGTCTGAAAATGCCTTAAACCACCGAAAAACCCGGGCTCTTGACAAAACACTATCTCCGTAGGCCTGCTAAAATTTAGCAAGAGTTTTCGTTGCACTATGCCCAAGGAAAACATGTTAGCACAACGTTGCTCTAAATTGATGTCACTCATTTTTAGAATACAATAGGAGAAACAGTTTCATAAAAAAATCGCTTCGGACTACCAAATGACTCGAATGAGTTCACACTTGTACTGAAAGCGGATCACACTTATCTCCCTTCCCCGACGCCTCCAGTGTTGCCAGATCGAATGCTACGTTATCAGTCTCATTACTTAATTTGCGACACCTCGTATGTGCCGCTGGTATTTTAGATTGCAACATTCACCTAGCACTTTTGTACGGACAAAATGTTGCAGTTACGTAAGAAAATGTGCTGTGAGTAACTTCTTATTATGGAAATGCACCTTTATGGGATGTCTAATATCATCAAGATTCCCGATTGTATGATAAACGCCAGCTTATGAATCGTATGAAAAAAATGCTGAAATAGAAAGGAAGAACTACAAAAATCCATCAGTGCACAAGGAAAGAATTTCAATAACCCTTGCTGAAAGTAATTTAATGGAAATCAACCGACGCCTTTGTCGATATTAAAGCAAACTTAAAACAGAAAGTTAGGACTAACGGACAACTTTGAGCAGTTATTGAATACTGTTTTAAAACATAACTGAAAAATAAATTCTACTTTATTTTACCATTGTACATGACCTATCCAATTTCTTAGACGTGCTGGCACTTTAACTTTGGCAGCCAGAACTGTAAAGTTTAACGACTTTGTGGATTCATTGCCAAAATCCGGATAAATCTAGATAGCAAATATTACGAATTCGCACTTATAATAATATTATCTCATATTAAAAACGGATATTGCTTCATATTCTTACACCACTGACGATATTTGCGGATATTTTGGTCTATTTATGATTTTCAATCATTATTTTTAGCCAAAAACAAACACAATATAATTTTCCTTTATTTTTGTTTCAGAATTCATGGAGATGATGACTGGAGACTAAACATATACCACCAAAAGTATTAATACAGACCACATTATACTCGTATGCAACAATTTCATATGAAAACTTGTTCCTTTCAACGAAAAAGACAAATAAATATTTTTTACCATTATAGATCTTAATTTATTTGTTGTTATCGTCTTTATTAATAAGTATGTAATATTTTCTTGATAACAGTTGAAATGCTTGTATCATAATCACAGTATAGCTTTTATCCAAATGATAGTCACACAACATAAGGAAGTAGTTGGTTTAAAATATACAGTTCTACAAACAATAGAAGCGTTCAGCTAGCGTAAGGCGTTCCATATGTATAGCGCTTTTATTCTGAATAGCTGTAGCCAACCTTGTCAGTTTGACAGCAGTTAACACGTGGCTGTCAGATTTGATGATGCGAATTGTCAAACCTGGACTGGCATCGAAAAAGCATGTGATCAATTTAATAAGGACTTTGGAACTTTAGCATTGACATCTGAGAACCGTCAAACACTAAACCCATCGAAATCGGTGGTGATGCTCTTTGGTAGGAGTAAGGCTTGAAACAGATCACTCAGTAAAATAAGTATTCGCATAAAAAATAAAAAAAAAATCTAAAAGATGTAACAAAGAATTTGGGTGTGCACCTAGATTATTCACTCGGAGCACGTCATATTTTTGTTAAAAGGAGGATTCAGTAATCTTAAAATCCCAATTAACAGTAGACGTATGCTCACAAAGCAATCGAAGAGAATTGTCACATGCACTGATGCCGATGCACTGTTTATGCCATGTTTATCTAAACGCAATGAATACAGATTACAAAAACTTCAAAATGCGTGCGTTTTATCACGGAAGCTAGGAGGCGAGATCGTGTTTCTCAACACTACTCCAGCCTACGACTATTACGAATGAAATATCGAGGGATCCTACATTCAATTTAAATGTTTAATAAGATTATCACCAAGCTAATCCCTGCTTATCTGTATAACAAAATTCATTACAGAACAAACGTACACACTCACAGCCTGCGTTACAGACATTTTCTACTCCTACATTCTGTATATCGCTTTTCAAAGGTTCTTTTCTTACAATGTTGCACAGCTGTAAAATAAGGTACCGATGTCATACAAGAGTTTGTCTATGAATTTAAACAAAAAAAATCAATGAAGCGTTGATGACTGTATAATGTAAATAAAACATACAAAATCTTACCACTTTTTTGTACATACAAGATTTTTTCATGTCTGTGTTTCGTCAACTATTTTTGGATCAAGTTTCTTGCTTGTAAGGTATTACCGTAAGGTCTAGGTGAATTTTATTCTTTCGGTTGAATGAAAGAGGGAATTTTCTATATGGTAGCAAGATCCGAATTCTGTTGTTTGTCAGGGAAGCAGCTAGAATTTGCTTAAGTTCTGTGTAATTTTTTGTGTGTGCTCATCTTGACAATAAAAAGTATTTATTATTATTATTACTCCACTGCTACTGCTATTCTGCATAAACCTGTTCGCTTCCAATCAGTTTTTGACTATTAGGAACTGACAAATATACTTCCTACATACAAATCCTGCACAGTTTGTTTATGAAACTGGCCTGGCGGACTGTGAAACACCGTTCGAGGAACTCATGCTACAAATACCTATAAGTATCAGTGGCTTAATAACAATAACTCGGAGTTGTCATATGTACAATCAGAGTATGAGGTTTAATTTTGTGAGATCTTGTCTAAGTTACGCGTCTCCAGGTCCGCATCTCAGGCATCGCATGATCTTCAATTTGTCAGCCGTGCAGATTATGGAAAAAATCCAGCGGAAGTTGCACCGAAAATGCACATCGGCAATCCAACTGCTTCGGACCGCACAATTTTAACATACTTTTGACCTCTCTCAATCTTCTTCTGCTATGAAGGAAATAGAAAATTGATGACTCCTAAAATTATGGTTCATGGCTTACATTAATGAGTCAAAAAACTGATCAGATGGATGAAACGTTTTTGATGTCAGGGTTAACCAGATCACGTCTGTCTAAGTACAAATGTTGTATTTTGAAGGAAAATAGCTATGCTGATTGAGAGTGAAAGAATTATTCTTGATGTGGCTTCATAAAGAAAAACTTTGTGAAGACCATAGTCATAGATGACGTTAAGCCAAGCCGTAATTTGGATTTATCTCACAGGAGAGTATTAATGCTTAACAGAAACCAACGTTGGAGGGACACAGGTGTTGGGGTTGTGAGTTGGAAAATAACAGTTACTTGTTATATGAATATTCACATTTACAAAAACATGGCGTCAAGAGAAACTAAACATACAAGTCAGTCAAACAGGTCCATACAATTAGTCCAATGCCTTATCGATAGCATCGTTCATCCTACAACGTCGCCTTTCCCGGATACCTGACCGTACGGCGCGTCAGACGTGGCACAGCAATAAAAATACCAGGATACTTATTAAAACCGGTACGCCCGCCGGTGAACCCAGGAAGCAGAAGCAGATACCTTTCTCTATCATTGTTTTAAGGGAAAATGAGTTTTATTTTTTTCGTGTTTTTCCCTCTAGCTCCGCTACTAGTAGACCGATTTCCAAAATTTTTATCAAAATCCGAGCGGTACTTCTCAAGTTATAGGCGGCTATAAAATTAGCAGACAGACCGGCAGAAAAACGGACCGACGGAAATGAGTGACATGGTTTTTCGAGATGTACACATATACAGTGCTTTTCTGTAATGTCCCCCTCCCCTTTGATTTTTTGAACGGATCAATTCAAAAAATTAAAACTTGAGGTAATGAAATTGATGCTGGGCGCCATTTTGGAAAAAAAATTATATGAAAACGGGAGTCTTGTGGCACATCATTTTAAAGCTCCTGACGAGTACTTTATAACCCACTAACATGCATATCTCTACAAATAATTGTAATTCCCTGCCATATCCACAGCAACAGCGATAAAAACTTGTTTTGTTATTTTTTGTTGACAGTGACAAGAATATCAGTAAACACCATTGTACAGTTAAAACATTCTTATTTAGTTTTCGATTTTAGTGCTAGATACTGTTTGAACTATTTTTAAAATAATCAATTCTCGTCCATAGGAAGAAAAAATCGAAGCGATTTATATTTATGGTGCGTCGCGTAACTTTCACGAGACCGAAAGGATTTTTAATGATCGTTTCCCGAATCCTCCTATCTGTAGAAAATACTTAAGGAAACTTGTATCTAAATTTCCAGCTACTGTTGGTGTAAACAACAAAAAGCCCCCAGGTCATCCGACCATCTCGGAAGCAAAACAAGTTCAAATAATTGGTGAGATCATAGTAAATCTCCAACAGTCTACTTCCTCCATCACGAATGTATGTGAGGTTTGTTTTTCTACTGTATGGAGACTTTTGAAAAAGAAAAAGTATCACCCATACAAAATTCGAATGGTACATCAGCTAACTGAAGATGACCCTGATCGAAGAACAGAATTCTGCGAGACTATGACGGAAACCATTGCACGGCATCCTACCTATATCCAAAATATTTGTTTTACTGATGAATGTACATTTTTTCTCAACGGTAATGTGCATAGACAAAATTGTCGTTATTGGAGTGAAACCAATCCTCACGTCTTCTGGGAAACTCATTATCAATATACACAAAAAATTAACTTTTGGGCTGGTATACTGGGAAATCATATTGTGGGGCCTCAATTCATCGAACAAACTTTAACGAACTGTATTTGGATATGCTGGACCCTCTAATCTCCGAAATGGTCGAAGCGAATCCTACTGAATTCGATACTGATATTGTATTCCAGTAAGATGGTGATCCACCATACTACTCCAGACAAGATAGGAATTATTTAGATAACAATTTCCCCGGTCGTTGGATTGGCCGTCGATGTCCTGTGGAATGGCCAGCTCGCTCGCCAGATTTGACACCTTTAGACTTTATTTATGGGGCTATTTGAAGCAAAAGGTGTACGAAACTGAACCTGCTTCAATATTTTATATACAGCTAAGAATATCAAATATTTGTAGAAATATCGATGTTACTATGTTTGAAAATGATCGACGTGAAATTACGGACCGGCTGTTATTGTGTCAAGAAGTTCAAGACAATCATTTCCAGCATCTTCTAAGCTGAACTCAACATGTTTATTCGAATTATCAAGTCAAATGTCAATGTATTCAGGTATTATTAAATGTACCACCATTTTGTAGGGTAGAGTAGGGTAAATCGTACCGATTTTTAAATAATTGACCACTGTACTCAGAAATTAAACTCTTTAGCATTCATATTAGCACACAAGCAAATATAAACATTTATTTTCTCCTTAATCAAGAGTTTAACTAAATCAAACAACATCTTAAGCAAAAAAAATACAAAAATAAAAATGCTTGCAAACGGTACGATTAAGCGAACAGGTTGGTTTAATCGTACCGTCGGTTTTTAAATCGTACCACTAACTTTTTATTTACAGTTCTCACACACATATTTTTTTATTTGCTTTTTAGTTCCTGCACATGATGTGTGGGCCCATTTCTCACATTTCACCATATCCTCAATAATGTTCTCTTCACATATATGGCAGTACCATTCAGTAGTATCATATTCACTTTGAGCATTTACTACATCAGATTTTGAAGTGGAAGATTGGTCGTCACGTGCTTCGAAAAGGGAAGTAGAAGAAAGCCCGAGATTTTTCTTTACTTTTTTAATTGAGTTCTGCCTTTGATTACGCTTGCCCTCCAATTCATCTTTATAGGGCGTACTGCTTAAAATGACGGCTGGTTGAGACAATTTTCTTTTCTTAGCATTACCTTTATTCTCAGGTAAAGGATAAATTTCTTCAATGGAGGTATTCAGATCTGTTGAGTTGCAATTGTTGTTTAGTTTAGTACTATTACTTTTAACTGGTCGCTCAGTAGCTTCGTCTTCAGGCTCAATAGTCGTTTCACGTGGATTTATTGCCCCTAAATCCTCCCTTGCTGTTTCTGAATCATTTTCAAGCAAGTCGCTAGCTGCGATAAAATCTGCATCAGAAAATACAGTACGGTCAACCGGCCATATTCCAGTTCTCTTAAAACCACCCATGATGTTGCTTATTGATGCAGTTTTTGCATAGGCATCAGAGAGCAATCCAGTCATGTTATATTGAGTAACAGTGTTACCAGGATTGCTTCTCAAAAATGTTTCAATACCTTGAGAAAAATAGGATTCCATAGGTTTAAAAAAGCTTACGTCTAATGGCTGTAACCGATTTGTAGTATGGCCAGGAAGTTGCAGTAGTACAATTCCATGCATTTTTGCTAAAATGAGTGCTTCCAGATTTTTTGAGTGCGTTGTGTGGCCATCCAGCAAAAGCAAAACTTTTTTTTCGGTACTTGGTTTTACGTACTCAATGAAGTGCTTTAACCATTTAATAAAAAGTTCGTTATTTATATATCCAGTATCTGAAATTGTAACAATAGTGCCAGATATTGCACCTATGGTTAGCTCTGGAGCCATACGTTTTCTCTTGAAAATGATCATGGGTGGTACAGTTTGACCGGTAGCACTGGCACAAACGACAACTGTGGTATTTACGCCCCTCTCACCACTTGCTATACCTCCAACTTGGTGCTTTCCTCTACGTGCAATGTGCAATTATTTTTTGATTCCGTTTTTGAACAGTTGAAAATCCACTTTCATCAACATTATAAGTTGTTTGAGCCGTAAAACAGTTTTCATCAACACATCTTTCTAAGATATCAAAAAACTCATGGACGTTTTTTTGGTTGAATCCAGTTGCTCTAGCCATGGAGATTTTCTCTGGTTGCCTTAGTGACAGTTCAGGATGTCGGTTCATAAAAGAATAATACCATCCTTTTCCCGCCATTTCTTTGTTGATGTTGAAGCGATGTGGAATATCATTCCGTACAGCTATTTGGAAAGCCAATCGTCTAACATCCCGAATTGTTACACCAAAAAATCTTTCTTCCAGCTTCAAAATATGTTTTGCCAATTCCATTTCAGTTTCAGGACTGAAGGTTGTGTGACGACCCAAAGACTTGACATTTTCATTTGCCTTTTTATTTAAAGAGCGCAAATGCCTTCTAAAAGTTGGCTTTGGAATGTTATAGCGCCTGCAGCATTCATTAAAACCACATTGGTTTTGTTTGTATGCATTAATTGCATGATCCATATCTTCTGAGGTCCATCCACAGTAGGTATTCCCGTTTTGTTTTTTTCTTATTATTTACTTTACTCATCTTCTTTTTTGAATTCCTGTAACAAAAACTTATGAAAAATGGAGCAAAAAGTATCGGTTGGGTAAATCGTACCGGTACGATTTACAAAACTGTCGGTGGTACGATATACGACACAAGCACAATTTTACTTTTTTATATAAAATTTCAACCTAAACAAACGTATTTCCAATTGATAATTTCAGCAACAACTAACTACACGTCCATAAAATACGTGAATAATACATCTTAAAATTATCTACTTACCAAATGTAAGAAAAAAGCTTATGAACCGGAGCAAAAAATAACATCAACAACACTGCTCTTAATTTAACCTCAAACTGACTGACAGGGTGAAGTGAGCGGCAATTATTAGCTTGGGCGGGAAAAATATAATCCTCAAAGCTTTTGGATTTTGCCAAGAGATGCCACGGGTAGTAAATAATTCTCTTGAAAACAGTGGTGGTACGATTTACCCGGCGGTACGCTTTATCCGACTTTACCCTAGTAGGTAAAGGTATTGACTTTATATTCTAGGGTTATAAAGTACCCGTCAGGAGCTTCAAGGTGATGTGCCACAAAATCGTCGTTTTCATATTTTTTTTTCCAAGATGGCGCCCAGTGGACATCTTGACATTTTCATCTGTCAAGTTTACTCTAAAATATGGTATCTACGCAATAATTTCATTACCTCAAGTTATAATTTTTTGAATTGATCCGTTAAAAAAATCAAAGAGGAGGGGGACATTAAAGAAAAGCACTGTATGTATATATCATCCAATCCCCAAAGAATATAATATCTCATTTTCGAAATTTAGTTAGAAATAGTTAGATTTCTATAAAAAGTGTGCCATACTTTCTTCCAGTATCGAAATATTTCATTCTGTGTGTGTCATCCAACAACCGGATATGCAAAAAATGTAATGAGTTGGCATTGGATGAAACAAGTGTTAGGTATCCTCGCAAAAATCTTAATTAACTGCACTTGAAGCGTGATGAATATGCACGTGAAATATGCAAACGGTTTTTATCATTTTGGACACGTGCCAAGAACGTTCCACCTTCGATTATTTGATATATCTCTGGTGGTTATGACGTTTACTCGTATCTCGTATATATCACTGCATTTTAAATCTTTTTGACAATATTGCTTAATATTTTTAGACGGTTTGGCTCGTTTCATGAAACATCGATTATCTGTCTATGACAGCACTGACTCTTCAGTTCAATTCAGGACATCAAAGATCCTACATCCTTTTGATATTGTTTAAACGCCAATCAATACAGTCTAACCAAAAATATCCTCCTGAATAAATTGACACAGGATTTCCACCGTTACAGCTATCTTGCCAAGTAAGATCTCGGTAATCCCTTGGAAGAAATGAAAACCAACACCAATATTTTATTTAGAAAAAGAAGTTTATTCTTAAATCTGACGTCAACCATCCAAGGAAAGACCATCTCACAAGCTCCTCTCAAATATTCCTAATATTTCGGATTTCCATAGTTTCTCAACAACGGGACAAGACATCCAACAACTTGCAGCAACAGTTTGAGATGCGGCAACCTTGGCGCCTAAAGACGGTGGTCGATACGATTTTAGGAGCCAGAGTATGACAAAAATTTGGCGGATCGTCGGAAGCATACGTTTTTGAATAGCTAACTTCTCAGGATATCGAGAAGCTGTTAAAGGAAAAAATATTTTCAATAATTCTTTTAGATTCTGATATTTTCAAGTTCTGATATCAATGAAATAAGATCAAATCAAAGTCAAATCTCAAAATTGCATAAAATATTTTGCTTCGTAAGCTTGTATTTTCAAACCATAAACGCAAACATGAGCATTTTGGCCTTGAACTACCTACTTCAGAAAACATCTACCTACAGATGTATTCAGCAATAATTTAACCCCTTATTGCATCCTGAGTCATATATGATACATACCAATATTAATATTTTTTTGAAGCTCTAGAATTTAAAGAGCGAATAACTGCATAGTGTCGCATATTTGGGACCGAGGAATAACCACGTTAAAATAATGCCGACGCTCCTCCGACAAAAAATATGACCTTGGAGCGGTTTGCAAGTTTACACTCGCACTTTTCGTGGTACAGTCGACATCTCCGATTTTATGAAGCATTTTCGTTGGGTGAAACGTAGGTTTTGGTGATAGAAAAAAATAGCTGTCCACAGTTTATTTGTTACTTGTGCGTTTCAAGGTAAGTTTAGGCAATAATTTCAATTTTTGCAGAGGTTACATACAAAAATTGTTTTGATTCATATATGGGACATCATGCGATTATAACGAGTGATAAGAGTCATCTTGATTCCAGATGGATCCAAAAATATTTTATGGAAGCAGTAAATATGTTACGAATGTACCGGAAAACAATGAAAGTGATGATCCCGATTTGTCAGACGATGAAGACACAAATAATCCAATAATTAATGATAATATATTAGCATTTGACAGCGACGACAACAGTGAGCCTGAAGGAGATTATGATGAGACAGTCATTTCTGAAACAGATGTAGAATCTGACGATAGTGAAAATATGACTCTACACGAAATTGCAGAGAAGATGAATCCAAGCGCCTGGAGAACTGGAAATCTCGTGAAAGATCCAAAGGATCTAGAATTTACAGGCAATATGAATATGCCTCCAGAAGTTACTGACTTAGAAACGCCATTACAATTCTTCAAGTTCTTCTTGACTAAGGAAATCATATCAGCAATAACTATCGAATCAAACTTATATTGCTCACAAAAGCGTATAAACCGTCCTTTGAACCTCACAGATGATGAATTAGAGCGGTTTATTGGCATATGTTTGTATATGTCTATTATACAACTACCCCAAGCTAGAAACTATTGGTCGCCACATTTAGGTCATCATAAGGTATCAGCAGTTATGACATGTAACAGGTGGGAAGAAATCAAAAGATTTATTCATTTCAACAATAACGATAATTTCATACCTCGTGGTACACCTGGACATGATAAATTATTCAAAATAAGACCTTTTCTAGACAGTTTACAAGAAAGACTAAATAAAATTCCAGTTGAAGAGAACGTTGCGGTAGACGAACAAATTATTCCAACTAAAGCCAGATCAACAATAAAACAATACAATCCGAAAAAGCCACACAAGTGGGGCTATAAAGTATTTGTTTTGAGTGGAATCTCCGGCTTTAGTTACAGCTTCGACATTTTTGCTGGATCTCAGAGCAACGTAGTTCCTGTTGATGTTCCTGATTTAGGAACAAGCAGTAATGTGGTGCTAAAACTTGCCCAAAGAGTCCCTAAGCATATGAACCATAAAATATTTTTCGATAATTGGTTCACCAGTGTCCCACTTGTGGTTTACTTGAGCAAAAATGGCATTCTTCCTCTTGGTACTGCGCGCTTGAATCGAATTCCAGGTTGTAAAATGCTATCGGAAAAGGAATTCAAGAAACTTGGAAGAGGATCTTGGCAAGAAAAAACTGATATCAAAGATGATGTGAAATTAAGTACTGTTTGCTGGTATGACAACAAAATTGTCACAACTCTGTCATCTTATGTCGGCTCGCAACCAATTGGAAGTAAGCAAAGGTTTTTTAGAAGCGAGAAATGCTACAAAGATGTGCAATGTCCGCAAACAATCCTAAAATATAATGAATACATGGGAGGCGTAGACCTATTGGATTCTATGCTTGGTTATTATCGCATCAAAATTAGATCCAAGAAATGGTATCTCCGCATTTTCTTTCATTTTATAGATATGTGCGTTGTGAATAGTTGGCTTTTATGGAGGACGCAGAACGAGTTTTATATGCCACTTGCAGATTTTAAGGTAGCTATTGCGGATGCTTTATGTATCAGTGGAAAATCTGTATTGAGTAGAAAACGTGGACGACCTAGCGCCAATCTTGAACATGCTTATTTGGAAAAGACTAAACGTGGACCTGCGGCTGAAATTCCTCAAATTGAAGTAAGAAAGGACGGAATAGATCATTTGCCGGAATGGAGAGAAAATGAAAGAAATCGATGCAAACATCCAGACTGCAAATACCAATCATATATTTATTGTGTAAAATGTCAACTACCGCTCTGCCTAAATAAAGATAGAAATTGTTACCTAAGATTTCACACCGAGTAACTACATAAGACTGGTTGTTAGTGCATAGAGTCCCATATATGATACATACCCCTTTTTTGTAAATTTTTCAATAAAAACTTAATAAAAATTTTTTTAATTATTTTTCATCTAACTTGTGCAGACTGATCTACCTCATATATTTTTTCCATTGAAAATAAAAAAATCATGCAATAAGGGGTTAATCCCAGGGACCAGGGTTTTATCATTTGTATATCTCTGGGAATTTGATTTTAGTCTATAAAAGTCTATAAACTACATTTCGAGTTTTAACACGCATTTTGCATTGCTTTAAATCAACCACCTGCGCTGAGTGATACACCAAAATAAACCTATACGTACACCTTTCATCATTAGCCATAATTTAATATCTGTCTAGTTGCCTTGCCAATTTATTACCCGTATAATATTAAGATTTCACGGTTATACGTGGAATAGTTGGAGATATAAATATACTAGCATCCATTAAAACTGAGCAAGTGAACCCTTGAATGTGGAGTCACAATATGGAGATGAGTTATTGTCTCTTACCATAAAAGACGTGTCTTCCAACACGGCGGAATCCATGCCCACCGACTTTGCCGTTCCAAAGTCAGACCATGTTAGGAGGGGCGTACGATATGGTATGATGCTCTCTTCCATTCTGGTATCCGAGTACAGGTCACCAAAATTATCATTCAAGGTGTTTCCTAATTGTATGTGAATTTTGATCAATTTTAAGAAAAAAGCTTCGTATGTGCTTATGACCTAAACGTTTTAATTTGTGGCACGCCACTGATATTTGATACAAAAAATGAAATCTGTACCCATTTACGAGCAGATTTGATCTCTTGAATATTTCGACAGAATTACTGATCAGAAGTCTGACAAAATCGATAGTGCAATTAGACCATCTGAGAAAAAAGCAAGTTACAAACATGTGTAATAGAAATTAAATGGATCAAGTCAGTCAAATAGGCCCATGCAATTAGCTCATAGACATTTTCCCCTGCCCTAACACTAGTACCGTCCATCTGGCAACGTCGCTCCTCTCCCATATCTAACCTTACGACGTGTCAGACGCGGCACCGCGGCAGTAACGACACAACACTCATCGAGATGGCATCCCCGCCAGTGAACCCAGAGAGCAGAAGGACTATCACTGTTTTAAGGACAAATGTACGGGGAAATCTATGATATGTGAAATATGTATAATTGGTGCTCAGTATTACCGGAGTTGGGAGCGTAGATATTTTTTTCTCACTTTTTGTCTCGTGACGCCACCATCACTTGATCGGTTTCCATAAAATATAAAGCTTGAGAGGCCGACAGACCTACGAAAATGAGTGACATTGTTCTTCGTGATGGGCACGTCATATAATATGGCGTGGGAAG